GCGGCCACAAGGGTGATTTTAAGATCTATATCTCATATGAAAGAATTTTTATATTTAGAGTTTTTATGAAGAAGTTATAAAGTATTGAAGACAATACATATAATATAAAAGTTGTAAGTGAGTCGTTTTGTTAATAGTAATGGTTGGAGCCATATCTTAAATTTCCAAATGAATTTTTGTCTCAAAATTTATACAAGTGTGTGTTATTAAGTTAAAAATCTATATATCAAAAAATTTATGGTATTTGAGTATTTAGTTTGTGAAATATGAAGAAATTTGTACACAGATATACATAAACAAGAGTTTGAAGCTACTGTTAGGATTTTAACAATATCTTAAGTTTCATAATGATTTTATAGTTGAAATTTGTTGTGGTAGTTTTTAAAAGTACATCAATACTTCATGTAAAATTTTGGTTTGTCTAAATAGTCTGATCATAAGATATGAACTATTGAAGTTTAGAAAAAATTCACCTTTAGGATATACAAGGTTTTATAATATTTTTATCACATTTTTGGTGACGTTTAGTATTTAGGGCTTCTGTATTGATATAATTGCCTCAATAGGGACAATTTATACATAGACTTAGTAACAAAGTTTTTAACTTATCAATCAACTAAAAGTTCTTTTGCTAAGAATTAAGGATTTTTTCCACTTCATATTTTACATAATTTCTTATTTCAATAGAAGGCAAAGATGGTTATATTCTTCTAAAAATAATTAATTTTATTTAAGCTTCTAAAATATAAACATGAAATACTAGATATACATTTATAGATGTGGATAGTTTCAACCAATAAGCCACTAAATTGATTTATTTTTGAATACAAAATGGCCTTAGTCTTTGGTAGTCCATCTTATATCAAGGCAAATTGATTTTGATATTTTGTCGAAGAAACCGTAATTTATCTACTAAAGATTAATCATTGGTTATTGATTGCCACATTTCTTTATTATATCAAGTACCAAATAATCTACTGTCAATGACATCAAAATTTCCAAACTTTGCAAATATGTGATTTAAAGATATTTAGCTAACCAAGACGTAAGATAACTTATATGTATTACAACTAAAAAATATTCAACCAAGAGTGACTTGTAATATTTCTTATGAAGTGGTGATATATAGATATTAATTACTAAGATAAAAAGTAGTTTAATAGAAATAGATAAATTTGATAATATCTTATAGAAAAGCTTCTTAAAAGCTTTGTAAATGTAAATTTGAACTTATAAGTATTTATAGGTTGAAAACTTGACCAACAAATTAGCTACATGTGATACATCCTAACCTCTTTTTTTACATATTGGCCATATATAGTACTTGTGGTACAAATCAGTCATGTGTTATACATGTTGAAAACTTATCTTCTATGTTAGACATATATTTTGCAAGTTGGATGTATGTCAAATGATTTATAGAATATTGTATTATAGTTCTTTAATTGAATAATATATATGGAGGCAAGAATAAGGCCTTTATCACTCTTATCAACTACTATCTTGTTTCTAGTCTAATTTCAAAAGTTTGTAGCTTTTATATCTTTAAAAATAGCCATTCCAATTTCTTCTTAATTATATGTACTTTTTCATTTCTTCTATGTTATCTTTCTTTAAGACACATCTCACATACTTAATTACATTTTGTAAGTTCTTGTCCTTGATAGATAGAAGAATCTTATTACAAAAATAATTATTTAAATTTCAAGTTGTATGAAGATTTCAATCCAATAGATATGGATATATAGAACCATGTTGTCTTATAAGATAATTTTAGTATAGAATCTTTGTCCCAATGGTCATGTTATGTAAAATTGAATCTAAAAATAAATTTGGCATTTAATTAGAAAAGTATTTGAATGTACCTAGAAGTACTTCTTGTAATAAAAAGAAATGCATGAAGTATTTAAAAACACTTGTCTTTGCAATTATAATACTCTTGAATTCTTCAAGTCAAATTATTTTATGTCTACTAATTTTAAATTATATACTTGTTATAGACAACTTTATCTCTAAATTACTTTACTTAGATAATTTTTAAAGTCATTTCTATGCTCTTTACTTATTTCTAAGATAATTAAGTGTATTTCAAGCTAAGGAATATGGATTCTATTAATACTCTTTAATCATTATCAACCTTAATTAAATATCAAATAATCTTTAATTAAATTATAAAAAATCCATATAAAAATTCTAAAATAAATAAATCAATCTTTAATAATATCTTAATCAAATTCTAAAAAATTCTATCCAAACCTTAAAACAGCTTTATTTAAATTTTAATAAAATTCTAAAAATATTCTAAATAAATCCAAATAAATTCTTAATCAAATTTTAAATATATCCTATTTAATTTTTAACTTAATCATAACTAATATTAAAAAAAATTATCTAATTTTTAATCAAATTCTAACTAAATTCTAATAAAATCATAAACAATTCTTATAAAATCTTTATTAAATTCTAATTAAATCTTAACAAAATTTCATAAATTTTAAATTCAATAGAAAATTATAGCCTTTGTAACTTCTTGAGTGACTATTGATTTTATTTCAAACATTGCAAAATCTTCAAAGTATAGAAAAAAATAAATAAGAAGAATTACACTTATTATTTTAGAGAAAATTCAAATATCCTTCTTGGAATAATTCTCCAATCTTAATATCAATCTAAGGCTTTATTAAGTAATATTTTTTAGAATTCACCCTGTACTTATATCTAAAGATTCTTTTGTTATTATTTTTGCTAATATATCTTGTTTTGTCTTGTTTGTGGTCTATAAAGTACTTAGAAGCTTCTTTAATAAAAAAGAAAATATAAAATAAAACTTCTAAGATCTTCCTACTTTTTATCTAGAATTTCAAACTGAGTTTTTGCAGTATTTTCAATAAAGTTCTACTAAATTATTAGTCTTTATATATTTTTTCACTTATTAGCTATGTACAACACAATATTTCCAAATCTTCCTATCATATAGATTGATTTGACTATGGTATACTAATACTTGTTACGTTTAAAAATAAAGGTGCTTCACCTCTCTCACCTTGCATCCTCTTCTTTACAATACCTTCATATTATATCTAAGTTTATTTTACAAAAAGATATAGTCTTTAATCTATCTGATTCATATGAACTAGAGATATATAATAACATTTGAAAGAATAGAATTCACAAATATAGTTCTCCAAGAGGGAAAAAAAAAAAAAAAAAAAAAAAAAAAAACTCTTCTTAGTTGAATTATAACATAACTAGCAAAATAAGACTACATCTTCTTAGATAAGTTGGCTCTCATTCCAATCATCCTTTTGACTTAAAAAACATTGATTCTAATTCTTTTCAAATAATAAAATTTTAAAATATATAAGAATTTTTATTTTCATTTTTTGTTTTTTATTTTTAAAGTTATTTTGGCATAAAAATGGATAGAGATACAAATTCTTTATCTCGAATTTAAGAAGATATTAGATATGAATTAATAATTAATGTGATGTTGTGCGATTTTCTTTTTTTTCAACATCTTATGAAGTTAAAAATTATTTTCTATAATATTTGTAGATTAAATGATCTACCTAAAGATTTTAAATTGCAAAGTTATATTTATTTATTTATTTATTTATTTTTCCCAAAATGTGATATCTTTCTACTCTAAGAACATAAAGTATGTAATACAAGGGTACAAGAACTAAGCGATAATCTATAACTTTATATCAAGCTCTTCAATTTAGAAGTTGCTTTTAGTTATGCAAATAGTTGTAATAGAATAAGATAGAAATATTTTTATTCTAATTAAATATTTAGCTAATAATATTGGCTTGTTTATGCATAATATAGCACTTTGAATCATAATCAATAATATTTTAGGTGATTCTATTAATATTGTAAACATTTATGCTTCCAACAAATATTAAGAAAGAAACTAAGTGCAAAGAAACTTATAATTAGAATATGGCTAAAAAAAACACTTGATAAATTATCTTTTTTGAAGAAGACTTTTATTAAAAGATGAAAAAAATACTTTAAAATTATTTTCATCTTGATTTCTATTAATAGAAACTTTTAAACAAGAAAGTATATTGAATTATTCTTAAGTTAAAAAAAACAAGAATTGTATTTTTTTCTAGATTATGTAGGTCCTATGTTAGTATTAATTTATTCTAGGAAGAAAAAAAATTATAAATATTATCTAAGAAATGGTAGTATGTTATTAGACCATCATCTAATTAAGTATGCTTTTCAACTTCAAAAATCCAAACAAAGATATTAAAAATAAAATTTAAATCTATTCTTTTTAAAGAATCTTTCAATCTTTCAATGCGTTGGAAAAATATGGCCTCAATATAGACTAAAAGATTCTTTTATCTATAATATATTAATCTTTGTACAATTATATAAATTATTTTGTAATGAATTGTTTTAAATTTTTATTCTCACACATACAAACAACAATTTGGATTTCCAAATTCTATAAAGGCTTCTAGCTTCTATGTGAATAGCATTTTGCACAAAGTCAATATTAAGAAATTGAAGATAAAATGGAAAAAAATATAAGACTCTTGGTCTTGATGACATTAGAATAGAATTTCTTCAAATATTTTGGCATTTCATTGGAAAAGACTACTTAACCATGATTAACCAATCTCCTTACAGTATTGTCAAATGGTAATGATAAAATGCATCATAAATTTCATTTCCTAACTTGCATATGATTTCTAAGTACAAAGTTGGACTTTTCTTCTCAGATTGTACATTCCTATACTTTCTTGTATTTGAATCTATTGCACTACTATGTATTTCAATCTCTTAGACCTGCCAAGTTACTACTATACAACACTACAAACGTTGATGATTCCAACAAAAGAAGACGTGAGAAGAAACATGGGAAAAGAAAAATCGAACCGAGACAACAACATGGGCATGACCTGGTTTGAGAGTTAGGGTTCAGAATTAGGGTTTGTGGGGACGATGAAGGTGGAGCCCACGAAGGGATTTGCTGATTTCCGCGATCGGAGGCTCGGGCTGGTGGTGCATTCCCATCGTTTTGTGCGGGGAATTGCACATTGGGATTAGCCCCATCCTCGTGCATTGCGAATCGACGACAATTCCTGAGGAATTTGCAACGCTGGCTTGCCACCTTGTGCTCCACTGCACTACCTGCACTGCGCTCTCTCCACGTGGGAAAGTTTCCGTTTCTATTGGACACATGACCCCTTCGCTTCTGACTGCACTCTCACGCCTCACGTCAGCTTTCTCTTCACCTATAACCCATCGCGAAATCGTGATTTTTATGTTTCTTAAGGTGTGCGATTGTGTAATTCTTGAAGACCTGTTGCAATCTCCCCGACTGCCCGAGTGTTGGTGAAGCGGTCAGTGCGTTTTTCCCAACATTTTGTTTGCAGACTTCGGGTGCGAGTTTGAGGGAGGTGACTTGGTTGTGGCCGAATTTCAGGCATCATGAGAGGTTTGGTTGGAATTCGAGCTAAATCGCCATGGCTGCTGCCGGTCCTTCGTCAGGAAAGGCGCTTGAACTTGGATTTTTTCATACTGATGGTGTTTACTGGCTCATGAATTTTAATGGCATTGTAAAGTAGCCGGAATTGAGACATCGGAGCGCATGGTTGCGAGTTGTGGCTATGAATGGGATTGAGAATGGGTTGTCGATTGATGCTGTGCTACTGGCCTTGACGCCCTCTGATTTTGAATAGGCAAAGGTATGATTGGAGTTTTCTTTTGGTGTGTGTGCAGATGGGCACAATGGTGCAGCTGAACGAAGCGGGATTGTTCAAATCGCAGGGGCTTATTGGTGACAAGTGGGTCGATGCTGAAAACGGCCACACTCTCCCAGTATGTGCTAGCTTACTCAGTCACCGTCTCCATCGTCTCTATTCGTTTCACATGTCTTCGGAAGCATTTATGGTTGGAGCATTGAAACTTTCATTTGCAGAATGCTATGCCTTCCGGAGTGGTGTGAGTGTCTCTGTAGCTATTCCTTCCAATAACTGAATAAGTACCTCGAGAAGTTGTGAGCTCAGGGAATTCTCCTTGTCCACTTCACTCTTCCAATACTCTTGGATCCCACACCCCACTCGCTCGATTACGCTAATGATTTTTGGAGATGATCGAACATTAGATTTTCAGTAAAGGCGTCCAAGCCCACAAGATATTTAAGTGGCAATTTGCTCACAGGGACTGTGTGGGATGTTTGGGGATTGTCGGGAAGGGCCTTTCATAGGTTAACAATCCTGCCACGGGAGAGATCCTCACGTCTGTGCCATTTATGGGTAAGCGAGAAGCAGAGAAGGCGATCGCTGCAGCATCTCAGGCTTTTACATGTATGCCTCTTGCCACTTCTCATTCTTGAGTCATTTCCGTCATGTTTGCATTGTACTAGTGGAGATGAGAGCTTGGTGATGACCCCATGGGGACCACGGTCTTTTGAAACAGCTTGGAGTAAGCGAACGGCTAATGACAGGAGCAAAATTCTACGACAGTGGTGAGTATTTCTAAGATGTGTCGCAAGCGCAACAAGGCAGATGTAATAGTCTGCCGGAGGGTGATTCTGGGTCGTTCATCTCGGAAAAATGTTATTTCAGTTTAGTTCAGAAACATCACATGTGTCTTTCTGAATTCCTTGTTTTTTGAGTGTGAAGGTTTAACTTACTCATAAAGAATAAAGATGACCTTGGGAAGCTCATTGTCTTGGAACAAGGAAAGCCACTCGCTGAAGCAGTCGGAGAGGTAGTTTTCACGCACTTAACTATTAAGGCATTTTTGCATCTTTCTGTTCCTTGTACTACATCTTAAAAGTGCTGAGAAGGTCTCGATCAAGAGAGTTGTGAATTGCGATCAATTGGAAGTCATCAGATTGTATTGTCTTAGAACTTGTGAACGTCGTTATCAGATTGAATGTGGCTGATTTCCTTCAGCTGCGGTACTAAGTTGTGAACTGCAGATCGTATATGGTGCAGCCTTTGTAGAGTATTATGCGGAAGAGGCAAAACGAGTTTACGGTGACATAATTCCCTCTCCTTTCCCAGAGAAACGAATGCTCGTGATGAAACAAGTAACTCATCCTGCCAGCTTTTTGTCAGTTTCTTAAGTAGAGCATGTGGAATATGTGATAAAATTTCTTCCTTATGCAAGATGAAGCATTTCTTCGGTCATTTCCTACCTCGTATATCCTACAATCTTCATTTATCAAATGTATTTTTTACGTGTACCTTTGTATTTGTTCCAGAGTAAACATCATTTGAAGTTGTAGTTGAGGTGTTAAACTGGGTCACTTGTTGGTTGGCAGCCAGTTGGAGTAGTAGCTGCCATAGCACCTTGGAATTTTCCTCTGGCCATGATTACTCGCAAGGTCCGTATTTTACCTCGTACTTGAATGGGTTCACACTAGATTTTCTAAAAACACAGGAGGTTTTCTCTAATCCAATGGCATTGGTGTTGGAAAATTAGACTATCTTGGTTTTGGTACCATCTTTTTCAATTAAAAAAATGCGAGTGGTAGTTTAGTCAAGGTCGATGAACCTTACAAGCTTTAATCAAGTTTGGTTTGAAATGATGTGTGTGGTCGGACAAGAAGCTGCAGACTAGTTAGAAACCGAGGGCTGTCCATTGGCTGAAAGTATGATGGAGGATCAGAATCTGTTCCCGTTTTCAACGTGGTTGGAAGAATTTTTTATAGGTAGCTCCAGCGTTAGCAGCAGGGTGCACTGTCGTTATAAAGCCTTCAGAGCTTACTCCTTTGACGGCGTTAGCTGCTGCAGAACTTGCCCTGCAAGCAGGCATTCCTCCTGTAAGTTCATGCTAAGTGTACATTGCACATTTCTTCGATAAGATTGCATGCATTGTAGAGAAGTAGTGAGATTCGTATCTCTTCAAGGTTCTTGCTAGGCTTTTTGTAATTGAGAAGGGTAATTGCTACAGGGTGTTGTGAACGTTGTGATGGGAGATGCAAAGGGAATTGGGGATGCGATGCTAGACAGCACAGAGGTAGGTTGTGTTGCACCTAATGCATGGTACTAAAATCCTTCTGTCCATATAATTTGGGTTTAAACCCATGTCTCCCCGTTTACCCTTGTGATAATGATCCCAGGTTCTGAGTACATCGCTCTAGTAACTTGATTTAGGCGTGAGTATATTCAAGTTGTGCATCCCACAATCACGTGTGCACAATGTTTTATAGAATCACCACATAAATGATCAGTCATCTGTGCATGTATAAGAACTTCATAAAAATTGAGATCCATGTCAACTTCCTCCGAAATTTTTATCCATATCCATCACGTATGTCCTTCATCATCCTATTTTCTGACGCTAGAATTTATAGTCTGCGTATTTAACCTACTTGATGTCCATCGAAGTGGTGTTTTGCAAAATGAACGCTTTGTGCACCATCTGTGTTGATGTCGCTTAGTAACACGAGTTAGAGCCTTGTTTTATGCTGAACTGTAAATCTTACGATATCTACTGAACTTGCAGGTTCGTAAAATTACTTTCACTGGCTCAACAGGAGTTGGTAAAATGCTCTTGGCTGGGGCGGGAAAGACTGTTAAAAAGGTATGTCACTTGTCCAGAGCATCTCAAGTTTAGAGTTTTAATTATTAAAATTTCAACATGTTTAATTGTTGTAGTGGAATTAGTCTTTACATTTTAATATGCGTTGCACCTAGTCTAGGCCAGAATCGCTACAACAGTAGAAGCATTTTAACTACGAGATTTACTTAACTGTATGGATTTTTTCCGGGTGTTTTTGCATGTGACTGAACCTGCGACCAGAATATTCTCCTTGACAAAGATGGTATGCGCAGGTTTCCTTAGAGCTTGGTGGTAACGCACCGTGCATCGTTTTTGATGATGCTAATTTGGACGTTGCTGTTAAAGGAGTGGTATGTATATTTAATGTCTTTATTTTATTTTATTTTATTTTTAAAATTATTATTATTATTATTATTATTATTACATTTTTAGAAGTTGGTTGCGAGTTATTTAATTTCAAAACTACAGAGCGATGGTGAAACTCATGTGCATCTTGGTGGATGCAGTTGGCCGGCAAGTACAGGAACTCTGGCCAAACTTGTGTTTGCATCAACAAAATTTTTGTGCAAGATGGTAAGATCACATGTTTTGATCTTTGATTTTGTTGAATTATTTTCGGACTTGAGCATGTATTCTTCTCGCAACTTGCCACTAAAAAGGTTTTATTTTATTTTATTTTTATTTTTTTTTGTTTGAGTTATTGTATCTTGATGGTAAGTCTAGGTACATTGTTGTTAATTTCTCTTCAGTAAGTCAATTCGCATAGACTGACTTGTTTGGGGCCAGGCATCTACGACAAGTTTGCGGAGGCTTTTGCAAAAGCAGTGTCAGGATTACGCGCAGGGAATGGCCTAGAACCAGGCATAACTCAGGTTAGCATTTTTTCTACTGAAGGTTACGTACATTGAGGATACTTGCGTCCTTCTGTACAGTTACTGGTGTACGGAACCTCGCAGCTACTAACTACTATTATTGTTATGTAGGGACCATTGATTAATGAGACAGCACTCGAAAAGGTAAAAAATGTCTTTGAGGCACTTCACAACCATATATCCGTACATCCAGAAAGTTCTCAAAAGTGTAGAGCTTTATAAGTTTGTGCTGTCTCTAATAGAATTTTTTGTGCTGGAATCAAAAAGTTCGAATTGCCCAAATCTTTCTAGCAGACATGAGTTTATGTAAAGAAAGGGGTAAGACTTAATGTTCACCATTTGTGTTAAGTATATCAGTGTGTTTTTGATAAAAACGCAACTAACAAATAATAAAAATTAAGGTCCTGCTGTGCTGGTAATTCTAGACAATATCAATTGAAATTGTGATGTATACCCAGGTTGAGAGGCACGTACAAGACGCAGTGTCCAAGGTAAACGAAATTCCAACTCCCTACTTGAATTTCGGTCTTGGTGTGTTAAGTGATGAGATATGACATATCTTCATCTGTTTAATTTACATGTGGAGGGTTTAGGGGTTAGGGCATTACACGAGTATAGCTATATCGCGTCGAGGAGATGTATATCATCATGATCCTAATGAAGAAGGCTGATACCCTTCATTAGGGAGCGAAAGTGCTTGTAGGTGGCAAACGGCATAGTTTAGGTCGCACATTCTATGAACCAACTATTCTCGGCAACGCTAGTGACGAAATGCTTATCTTCAGGTTCTGATCTAATACTTGTATTATGCGATTCATGCAAGAAACACACCTAGCATCAGACTGAATCGGATGTTGAGTATATGCTTACCAGAAAGAAATCAAATCTGACATGCTGTGTGTGTTGCCACTTCTGAAATTGTAGTTTCTGCATGCATTTGATTTGCAATGTTTCTAGTGCAGCATGGCCTCGATAATATTTAAAGCTTTTGAGTTGTAACCTCAATTGTATCTTTTGCATATGAAGGGAGGAAGTATTTGGGCCAGTTGCACCCCTTGTGCGATTTAACACAGATGAGGAAGCAATCAAGTTGGCCAATAATTCAGAATTTGGTAAGCATTTTGGTTCGTGACATACCAGTTGTTGTTTTTTCTTTATTGTAGTAATGAGTAATATGGGTAGACCCCTTTTTCTTGTAAAGTTATAGTAATTAAAGAGTAGCCCAACCGATTAGCTTATGGACCTTAACCCTATCATAACCTAATCTTTTATCGTCCGACATAAATTGATGTTTCAGTTTGAGATACTGTAGTACAATATCTCAAACTACAGTATCCATTTTTTCTGCGTATGAAAATTAACAGTATAGTTCTAGTCGTGAAAGTTCATTTGATAACTATTCTATAGCTTGCACACTTTATTTTAACACTGCTTGAAGAATAGATACACTATGATATAATGGGAAAGCACTAATACAGATAGTTGTTTATTAGGTTTTGAATTAGCGATGTAAATGGATTGTTGAATTTCGTTGGCCCAATCCCCAGCACATAGTTGGGGAGGACTTCGGCTTTACTATGGTTATTGTCTTCAATATGCTAGTATATGTTAGCACTCTGAGTTATGTGAATTGGCACTGATCTATGTCTCCTGTGATTGACCAGGCCTGGCTGCATACGCTTTTACTGAGAATATTACTCGAGGTTGGCGTGTAGCCGAGTCACTTGAGTTTGGCATGGTTGGCCTAAATGAAGGCCTCATTTCAACTGAGGTATATCAGCATCCTTAATATCTACTGTTTCTTCTATTTTACACACCCTGTCTGCTGGTTTTATTATTATTATTGTGATTTTTTTTCCCCTCTTTTTTCTCTTTATTTCGTCGCCCTCTTTCAAATACCTACATTATGACATATTTAGGTTTAGCCTGAGCAAGTAGGTGCATCAATGAGAAGGTTGAAGGAAAGGTTCTAGCGTTCTCTTCTATAGAACTGGTATCGCTTTTTCATTTCATAAATCTAACTCTTCTCAACGAAAATCTTGGGTTATTTGGGGTACACAAACCACGCTCGTGGTGGTGATGTTATGAAACTGACAAGTTTATTTGTAGGCTATTCTAGACAAGTCTTTTTCAAACTCATGATGCATTCTATGGGGTCTGCAATAGGTGGCACCTTTCGGAGGTATGAAGCAATCTGGACTGGGTCGTGAAGGCTCCAAGTATGGTCTTGACGAATACCTTGAGGTACGATTTTCGCATTTTTCACCTTGCGTGGTGTGAACCTGTGATCGAATGGCTTGCACTTGAAACTTGCCCAAGCAGGAATCCATGCATTATGTCCCAATTATTTTTGAATTGATGTACAAATCCAAGGTATCTGCGTATTTAGATGACGTTAAATCAAAGCTTAGGAGCTTCTCCTGGACTGGCTTACGGGAAAATCAGAAGTTTGGATTACTAAATTCTTAAGAATCCTTTTTTGTTTGACGATTTTGAACTTTCAGTAAAATTAACTAGTGATTGTCACCTAAAACTCCAATTTAAGCACAACTTCAAAGATTTGGTGGATTTGTGTCTATCAATGTGATTGTACCAAATCAAAGAGCTGTTTTTGTCCAGTGTGATTCTATATCTCTGTAAGGAATTCAATGTTTCGGATGCATGTTTGTTTTAAGTTTTCTTGACTTGTGTGACTCTCTACAGATGAAGTACGTGTGTCTTGGCAACATGGCACAACCCGTCGGTTGATGGCCTGCAATTGGCACCTCAATTTTACCTACAAGGATGGTTATTCGTACCTCTCAGAATTGCGTTCAAGGATTGTATAATGTTTAAAAGTCTAGTAGTTTTTGAAGCATCCTAGTTTCATCCCGCAAAAGTGTAAATAAGTTGTAGTCCAGCATCTTCCTTGAGCGAAATTACTGAGTATTACTGCTTCATTGAATCAACTATAATATTTTTTGTAGTTCATATTGAGGCAGTGCTCTACCGATTGAAATGATCATTACTCAACTTCAGGATTTTCAATGTCTTGCCATTTCAGGCTTCCCACTTGTAGCCATGCACCAAGTTGGATTACAACCCTATGATTGTAGTTATAACTGTACGTCCTGTTAATAGTACATACATCTTGGAGGCCTTAGTTTCACATTCTTCTTGTTCCAGGAGTCATACATTATTTGTTGTATAAAGCTCCTGCAGAAACGAGAATTACTTAACGATCATTTGATGTTGCGGAAAACGTGGGATTGGCTCATAATATGCTTGAATATTTTCAAAGATATTGGATTCTAGTACTGTCAGGTTAGCCTGAGAATTGAAATAAAAGAGTTTTTATTTTAAATACTACCGTACCTCCAACCAAAAGGATGAAGAGAGACGAAGTGGAAGGAACATGTGTTGGCATCAATATAGCACTGGCATTAGGAGAGGCTTATTATCATCACCTTTCGCATCAGATTTAAACAGTATTCATTTTTTATTTATTTTACAAGTATACTTATTTATGTCTGATAGCAAAATTAATTATACCAACCTGTCTAATTAGTGAAAATTCAGAAGCCTCTTACCAGTACAACACTGGTTGACACCGAAATGATTGCAGTGAGCAACGCCAGTATGATGTGTGCTTCGTACTTGAGAAATCTATGTTTTTCTCGTGAATCAGAGGATTGCCAGAAACTATGTCCACGCTTTGAGCCAGACCACCGCAGAAACTGGTGGGATGGCTGTCTATCTCCACTTCCTCTGCAATCCCTAGTTGTTGATTCCTACACTTCCACAATTATTTCTGTGATTGGCACTTTGGTATCATGTGAAGAATGCAACCTGTACACCCAATGTCTGTCCACATCCTCAATCTCGAGCACTCAAGGTCCGGACACAAAAGGACCCCAAGGGCCGCATCCTCTATCATTACGTCGCACAGTTTCTGTACCGGCAGAAAAGTGCTGGAAACGGTTTTGTTATTTCCGAAATGTAATCCAACTTTTGCTGCTGAGTTCTCTGCGAAGGCCAAATTATACGACTCTGATTCTAATATAGCAATGAGTAATCTCAATACAAGGTTAATCTACGTTCAGTTTGAAGGGGGTAAACGTTGTGTTCACTCTAAGTTTTGATGTCGACAGCCTGATCATGTAGTCAAAATGAGTAGCTAAATCTTCAATATCTATACTACGAATCTGAGAATTGAGTTGTTTCACCGTGTTTTCACAGTGCAACCAAGTTTTATCATTGAAATTACTCCGATCAACTTAACCTTCTGCTGCACATGGTCACAGCCCTCGATAACCAGAGTGATCAGTTCTCCTCGGAAACACGTTCTTGCCAAATTTGTCGGTAGTCCCAAACCAACTCCTACCCCTGTGCATTTGCTTCGATCCTTGATCATAACATCCCAAAAATAAACTTGTCTTAAAAAATCCAAGGAAGTACAGTTACACCTCCAACTGTGTTATTGAAGCTCCTTAGCACGTGGACTCTACACGCCTTGCTGTATTGCTTCAAACCTCGCCGAAACTGGCAGTACTATTTTTAAATGTGAAGCTACCAACTCGGTGACACTGTGCAAATTTTCTCGTAAGGGATCGATGTCGGGCCATAATGAGATATCAAGCTGCTCCATTCCAGCTTGCTACTGTAAACACGACGTAAAATCACAGACAGCTACTGCAGAAGTGTATACCCGTGAATCGGATCCAAACTACGAGGCCACTCGATCCGGCGATACCTAAACTTACAGCGAACGAGAACCAAAACTTCATCTTCCAGGGCTCTCCTCATGTCAATCCCAGAGTATGGTTAATCTAAGCAGAGGTGGAGATTCCGCTGGTCAAGCAGAGTGTTTCCAGACCATTCTAGGACCACGATTCGACCACCAGTTCGTCGTCTTCCCAGGATTCATGGGCATGGGTAACGACGGAAGCTCGACGAAGACCTGGACTGTGTGCGTCTTCTCATGGAAATAGTGGGAGATAGAAGCTACAGTCCCACTGGAATTGACTGATGGGACTCGGCCATCCCAACAAAGAAACTGCTCCCAGAAAGCTTGCGATCGAATCAAAACCTGTGACTGACCCCCGAACACGAGATCCTCCCCTCCCATCCTCTCATCTTCTTTCTGACCCCCCCCCCCCCCCCCGGTTTCTTTTCCTTCTATCCAGTGGAGCTGGTCACCGCTTGAGGCACTGCAGCTCATGGAACCTGGTAAGTTATGCACTCAAAACAGGTTGCAACGATCTGCCCAATGTCGAAACCTCGTGTGGAACGTTACGTATGGAAAACGCAACACGGCGGAGCATCGGAGCTGCCGTCAAGTGGCGGATTTGTCAGTGCAAGCGAAGCAGTTCTTGTGTCAGGAACAGCATTTCACCGCATTGTCTTCACCACCTTCCGTAGCGGATCCACCAACTTCCCCCAGCCCCAGATAAAATGCCTCTTTTAAACAACAACAACAATAACCCATCTCAGAAAAAATATATATATATATATATATTTGGCTTACCAAAGGAGGCGTTTTTAGGATTCTGTTTCCCCAGAGGTGACTGTTTTGAAATTCATATATATGTATGCATGTATGTATGTACATATATGTATATGTATATAATGTGGCATGAGATTGTCCTTGTATGAATTCTTTCATCAGATGGGCACTGCACTTTATAGTTGGGATTTTTTGTTCATTGATTTATTTGGGTGCAAATACTTTTCATTCTCTAATGGTTTTAAGTGGTTTTGGAACAAAGTGTGGGTTGTGTGAAGAAGTGGTGTAAAAAAGTTCTCCAAACACATTGTGAAGTTTTGTGGCTTAGGAAGGCGTGAAGGTTGCAATGATAGGAGTTGTTGGCTTGGAGCACACATCAAGCATGCAATGGCATGAAGACAAAGCATGTGTGTTGTATTACTTGTTTGTTTTCATACTTAGAAGAATGTATACACTTGATTAGTCAAAAGTGAGATTTTTTTACTTTTTATTTTAATTAATAGTATTTGAGAATAAAATCTACAAAGGTTTATATAATAGAAGTGCTGTTTGCAGTTTTCTCACAAAAGAATCTGGATTGGATGACAATCTTAGATGTAGTTTCTGAAATGCATACTTTCAAATGTTTTATTTTATCTTGTAGTTATATTATATATTATTGTTACATTATATATATATATATATATATATAGCAACGTCTTATGATCTACACTACTCAAATTGTCAATATTCAAGAAAATAGTACCTTTTACTTTTCCAATTCTTTATTTAAGAGGACAGTAATTTGATTAAGGATTTATTTATTTATAATAGACACAAAGTACACACAGTATTTGTTCTATATAAATGAACCTTACCCACGAGAGATTTTGTTTTTTAAAAAAAGGACTTCGTGACAAATATCACTTTAGTGTCAAAAAAGGAGATTCTGAATCGAGAGAACCCATGAGCCAAAGTAGCTACTAAAACGACCCAAGTCAACTGAGATCAACAAACAACACTTGGGGGGGGGGGGGGCACAGGGGGAACAGTGTTCACCCACATGGAGAACGAGGGAACCGAACCCATAAAGAGCATAGAGAACACAGCTTGAGAACATATGTTCCCGTCCCCCCATGCTATTGAGACGCCTCGGCACCAGGTCGAAGCGTAACAGACGCAAATGAATGCAGCAGCGATTCCTCCACACAACGCACAGAATCACGGAACAGCTGCCCCTGAGAATCACCACAAACCCACTCAGTTACTCTACAGTGCGAAACAATCGATATACAGTTTCAGTAGATTCCCAGAGTTGCAGTCTTAGCTTCATCACGGCGTGGGTGAATTTGCAGCTCTTGCAGTTGAGAGCTAGATTGAGAGAGAGAGAGAGAGAGAGAGAGAGAGATACGGGGTTACGAGTCCGGGAGGAAGAGCGAGAGTCTCAAAGAATCCCCGTTGAATACGCTCTGGTTTTTTTCGTAGTCCAATCTCGCAAAAAAAATATTTAAATTAAAAAATTTCGGCCGTGTTTCTGTGATTTTTGTGTTTTTGTGTTTTGTTTTGTTTTTGAGGGTGTTGTACGAGTTGTCGCCTTCATTCAAGTCTTGGGAGGTCAGGGAGGTCAGAACTTGGAGGGTGGGTTGAGTTGAATTGCCTTGCAAGGAGCTTTCGTAATCTTTCTGAACAGGCAATGTCGTAGATTTTGCACCTCGCATTGTGTGGGTCTTACGGTAAGTTGGACGGTCCGTAAATGTTCGAGTAGAGGCAGTGGAGTTTTGGAGGAGGTTGGGTCTGTAGCTTTTTTAGCCGTGGGGGTGCAGGTATGTGCAGGCTTGTTCGGGGTCTGGAAGCTTCATGCATGGTTTCGGGAACGCTGCTGGGGGTTTATGTTTATAGATGGTGGCGTTAGATCATGAGGTCAAGGGTAAGGAAGTTGGTGGTCGAGCACTGGGTTCATGTCTGAGCAGTTGAAGGCAGCATTGGGGGTCGAGATCGATTTAAGCTCAGGTCTTCGCGAAGATGCCTCCGTCTACGAGTAGATCGTCATCTCTGTGGGCATCATAGTAATGCCAACCACCGCTCATTGGTGATAATTGCACATTGAACGAGGTGAGATTGCTGACAAAACTAAGCTAAATTGAGAGATGTTCCTGGTGGAGCTTCAGTCTATGGGATATCAAGTTTAAAGCAGGGGAGAATATTACCCTCATGCAATGCAAAATATTAAAATCCACTTTTGTTGAGATATGATGATACGAGTTGCCGATTTAGGTATTAGATGTGCCGATCTCAAGTAATGCCTATGTAGTTTGAACCTGCGAAAGCTGTGCCGATCTCAGATATTGCCTGTGTAGGACCGAAGAGACGAAGGAATGGGCCTACGCAGTCGCTTTCAATTCTGACGATACTTAACAGAGCATGACTTGAGCATGCCTTGATCACATGTTTTAGAACGCTGAAGTCTTGATCCTTGTGATACTTTGTCTGCGCATATTTTTTATTTTTTTATTTTCATTTTTTTGTGTTCAAGGGATAGCTATGCTTGGTTAGAAGGTTTAGTGTGCTTCCGAGTGTGTTCTACGCTAAAAAATGGACTCTACCCGCAGATCTACTGACGGCGTCGAAGACAATATGGAGAAAGGGAGCTCATCGCCGGTTGGCATCACTCAATTCCGAGGAATTGTGGCGATCCTGCAGTGGTGGAGTTTCAATGTGCTGGTCATCATCATGAACAAATGGATTTTCCAGGTTCTTGACTGTGTTCTACATACGTATGCCTTTTATTTTATTATATAGGTGTCACAGATCTCGAATGGGTAATTTCCTTGACTATATCCTTCATGAGCTCGGAACAAACTCGGTGCATCGACAAGCACCATGTTAGCATCTCTTGAGTCAGATGGATTTGTGACAACAAATTATGTTATTGCTTTCTTACAAGTCCGGATGATTAAATCAGTGATTCTTTCGTGGTCTTGCTTAATTTTGCACAAAATGTCTAATTTTTCTCCTTCACAAACAAAAAATAGATTTGGCGAATTCTACTATAATCTTCTCTGAAACCGTGTGCAACGTAGAAGAACACCAGAAGATCGAACTGAGCAAGGTTTATACTGTGTTCATGGTCCCTCCTGCTGAATTCAAGCTTCTGTAGCTTGAGGGCATCGTTCTATGGAAGTCCATGTCATTAGGAATTTCGCAGGAAAAAATAAAATAGAAAATGCTCTCATTTGTGCGGCTGACTGACAAAGCTTGGGTAAAACTGGTGGTTGATTGCTTCAGAAACTCAATTTCAAATTTCCGTTGACTGTGTCTACTGTGCACTTCATCTGCTCAACGGTTGGCGCCTACATAGCAATTAAGGTGCTGAAGGTGAAGCCACTCATTGAAGTCAATCCACAAGATCGTCTGAGGCGAATCCTCCCAATGTCAATCGTTTTTTGCGTCAATATAGTGCTTGGAAACGTCAGCCTGCGTTACATACCTATTTCCTTCATGCAGACTATCAAATCCTTCACACCTGCCACTACAGGTACGCCATGTTGTTGCAAGCTATTGCGTACTTTTGTTCTCGAATTTAGTTTTCGTTTCGTTAACTGGTCCTGCTCTCATTTCACTCTTCCTTAACTGGAGATCACCATCTCACTATGACTCAAAGGGAAGTGAGTTTGTGAATGTTCAACACATTTTCCAAAATTCCTATTTTTTATGGCTTCTACTTCAGAAAATTTTGGGGTCAAGATGTGCAGCACAAGAAATAGTTGCTTATGTTTACCGTGGATAGTATGATTGTGGAGTAATACGAAGTGTTTCCTTATTTTATTTTGATTATGTTCGTCTTCGTAAGGGGTTACGGTCACTGGGAATTTTCAGTGGCGCTGCAGTGGCTGGTGTGGAAAAAATCTTTCGACCGTCGTGTTTGGCTCTCTCTGATTCCAATAGTTGGGGGAATTGTGCTGACCTCCGTCACTGAGCTCAGCTTCAATATGGCTGGTTTTTTAGCGGCTTTCTTTGGCTGTATTGTGACTTCAACAAAGACCATCTTGGCGGAATCGTTGCTTCATGGTTACAATTTTGACAGGTATGTTAACTCTGAACAGTCAAAGCTCCATTCAAAATGTCAAGATAAGTTTCATTTCAATCTACTTGATGTCAATTATATAGGTTACTACATTTGAGCTAACCTTGTGCCTAAACAATGCTAGTTCAAACAGCTAATGTGGTCAATTGCACTGCAGCATTAATACTGTGTACTACATGGCGCCACATGCAACCATGATTCTGGCCCTTCCAGCTCTTCTGTTGGAGGGTGGGGGAGTCTTGACATGGGTAGGAGCACAGGAATCACTGCTCACGCCTCTGTTTATCATAACACTCTCTGGAGTGTCCGCTTTTTGTCTCAACTTCTCCATCTTCTACGTCATTCATGCAACAACAGCTGTGACCTTCAACGTGGCAGGAAACATGAAAGTAAGACCTCTTGCTGTAATAATGCTACTTCAAAATATGGATGCCTGGTGGATATTTATCATATTAGAGCACTCCGTATGCACATGTTCGTTCAAATGGCATTTGGTAGAGATGAGGAAGCGATACCGTTCAGCAGGACTTGATCAATTTCATTTACAGTTGGCTTCTGGACGAATTGTAGCAATTACTGAATTCGAGATATAGTTCGGCAGGCGTGTCCCTTTCGGTGAAATCAACACCCATCCTTGAAAGCTGATGATTATAAATTGTTTGTGAGCTGCAGGTTGCTGTGGCAATCGTTATATCATGGCTCATCTTCAAAAACCCAATCTCTTTCATGAACGCAATTGGTTGCACAATCACTCTCGTAGGCTGCACCTTCTATGGCTACGTCCGTCACCGGATGTCAAAATTCGCATCAATGAAGGCAACCAGTGATGCTCTGGAAAACGTGCAACTTCTCCCCCAAGTAAATGAAGAGAAATCCAACCGACTGATTTAATGTTCCTGGATATAGATTATTCTGTTCTGCTCTCTGTGTTAGTATATCTCGCTCTTAAGCCATATCATTGCATCGAACTTGCGGAGTCAGTCGAGGTTTTAGGGCGAATCTTATGTCTGTAGCGCTTGTACCCATTTTATTACCTTTGTCAAGAGCAATCACAATGTAACTCTTCAGCTCTTGAAGCATTCAATTCTGTAATTGTCTATGTAACGTCGTTTACCATGCAACCAGTTCTTCGTCGTCATTTTCAGTCTATCATGACCATGTCATGCACCAAACCTGTGCATTAAGCATGTCCGGCTCATTCCATTAAGACTTTTATGGGACTTGCTGGGCATCGGTTTCAAGTTGCTCATCACACTGCCGCAAAACTTTGTCTTCTCCAGTTGTTTATGTAATAAGAAACACCAGAGACTTACGAACTTGTCGCAAGCGGGATGGCAGTCAACACATAGAAAGCCACGAACAAGTGCACCCTCATCAGAACAAGAGCACCATTACCTTCAAATGTCATGTCTGCCGATGGTGTAATCGCATTACTTCCCCACTCCAATCTACCAACACCCTCCAAAGATCTGATGATTGTATAGCAACTTGGTGGGATCAGGATGAGACACTCACCATCAAAAGGAACACTCTCTGCTGAGTATCACCAACACGTACACTGCGCAGTCTAAAACTTCGTAAGGAGTATTCAAAGTCCAGTGCAATGTCATCGACGCTGCATGGTTTGAGCTTCAGCTCACAAATCAAGCATTTAGAAACCATCCACGTAGATACATGGCACCCAGATCGGTGACGGTCCATCCTACAATCCAATCTTCCAAGACGAACTGTTCCTGGTTCAGTCGGTGAAGCTTCCTGATCTGATGCACCCATTTCAGTGCTACTCCACGTCTTCTTTTTCTTCTTCGTCTTCTTCGATGGAGACTGTGAAGATGACGCAGATGATCACAGCGTCGAAGAAACTGTGGCACAGGATGGTTGGTCTGATGCACAAGTGCATAGATCTCGCATCGAAGCGCAGATCGGGTCCTCCGACGCATGCTTTCAAACGCTTCCCTTTCATATCGTCCTCGGCATGTCCGCCAGCCCATGTTGCGTTGTTGTTGGGTCCTCTGTGGCCAAACAAAAAATGGGGTGAAGCGGAATTCACAAGCTGGAGAATGAAGTATGATAATTATTGGAAGAAAATGTGCACTTTGGCAGTTTATGATTTAGAGACGAAGCCATCTAGGTGTAAGATGGAGAAAACAAAGCTGAGTGAAAAAAACGTCAAAGGTATGAAGCAATCTATTTCGATAAGACCTTGTATAACAAATTGCAGGCCATGAAGAAAACAAAGGTATTTTATACAAGTTGTAGAGGAAAAGTTATTGGTAATTAAGATTGTGTGGAATAGATTACTGTTACGGTATTTTATTTTATTTTATTTTATTTTTTTCAACAAACCGAAAAAGAAATGTGGCTACTCTTCAAAAAATAAATTTATGCTCTCAAAAGAGGAGGAAGTTAGTCCTTCCCTCTATATAGTTCTGATTGATTCTCGTTTTTCACTTTCCAATTTCTAAACCAATTTTCTTATTTTCCAATTCATAAGCTTAACAGCATTTTCAAACCATTCCATTCATTTCCTCCAGAAAAGTTATTCCCCCACCCATTCCGATGCTTTCCCGCCCATTGTTAAATATTCATATTCATGATAAATCTTTCATAATCTTTTTTCTATGAAAATCAAAACTATACGCACATGTTTGAAATTCAATGTTGGGCATTGGAAGGTGGGCCCGCGGTGTGAAAAGGGCTCCCTGTCATCACTCAGGGCAAAGGAGATATTCATAGTCTCTATTCTCCGTCGAAACCCTAATTCGTGCGAGAGATTGTTCTCTATCAGTGAAGACCTCTCCCATCTCGTGGTTGGAAAGCGATGCGATGCGCAGGAGTGTGTTCCCGTTACTTGTGAATTGATTATTGGATTTTTTTTTCTAGGGTCATGTTGGTGTAAGTTTTAAGGGTCTCAAGTAGGTGTGAAATATGACGGAGAGTACCGCAACCAAGGAATCTGAGGGAGCGCCCGCTAGCAGCGCGCCCGTGACAAATGCTATAGATCCGGCTTCAGACGCCGCGCCTGCGACGACAACGACGGCCACGACGACAACGGCAACAGGTGGTGCGAAGTCGGAACCCGTTGTTGATGATCGACCTCCCCTACTTCCTCTATCTTCTGCCGCGACCACCGATGTAGTCACTGACCAGAGCCGAGCGAAGGACAAAGAGAATGATGAGAAGAATCGGCGTGTTCGAGAAGGTGATGATCGGGACAGACAGACTCGAGAAATTCGAGCTGGCTTACATCCTCTGCAGGTAGCTTTGGTCTGCAGTATCCCTCTTTCGACATTTGTGGAATTTGAAACCCTAATTCCTTCGCACTTCTTCGTGAGTTTGCGATGCTGGTTTTGAACCATTTGCATAGTGTGTGTTGTCTGTCGTATCGAACTCAGTAATGCATGATGCTGGTCTTGATTGGGCCAGGTGGGTACCCTCTCAACTTCGCGTCATAATTTATTTTGATGAAGTTTGTGTGAGTAATGGAATCAAGCGGGGCCGAGGTCCCTCGCATACCGCTCACTTGTTTTTAGTTTACGTTTTAATTGTTGAATTGAGCTGGAAATGTTAACTTCTTTTGCCCGGGCTTGAGAATAATCTAATGTGTTGGTCTCGTTGTGTTCACAGCACCGGTTTGTGTTTTGGTATACTCGAAGGCAGCCAGGCATTCGGTCCCAGACATCATATGAAGACAACATTAAGAAAATAGCTGACTTTAGCACTGTGAGTTATTCCTCACTACATCGCTACTTTATTCTCATAACTAACAGCTTCTTAATACGGAACGTTATTCCCTCTTCGAGAAGACGACGTGCTTGTTTTCTCTTATGAGTGATCTCAGTTTTTAGTAATCGTTCGAAAGGCTTAAGTGTCCTTCGGTCTGAAATTTCTAGTGACTTGCTCTGTACATATAGCTAGCATTTTGTAGTCAAGTTCTTTTTCTTGGCTAGCTTAGTCAGAAAGCTTGGCCAGGTTTTTACTAGGCAACATGACCTCACAAGATGGATGTTGATCTCCTTATTCAATCTCAGGTGGAAGGATTCTGGGGCATCTATTGCCACTTAGCTCGAGCATCCACTCTTCCAAATCCAACCGACTTACATTTGTTCAAGGAAGGCATTCGTCCGTTATGGGAAGTAAGTTTCAATGCCTCCTCGATTGCTGTACTTGTTTCTTGCCATGAAGACATGTATCTTTCAGGCAACCCTTACACTTCCTCTAAAAGTCCTGACTTGGTTTCGGTGCGGTGTCTGGAAAAAAGGATGCTGCTAACCGAAGTGGAGGAAAGTGGATTATCCGATTTAAAAAGCTAGTGTCTGGTCGATACTGGGAGGACCTGGTAAATTCCTACTCTGCTTTTTCCAAGTTTCATTTTTCTTGTTCGAGTTTGTATGGTTAGTCTTTGGAATGGGAAAGTGTGGAAGCTTGCTTGGTATTTCTGCTGCCGACCATCTCTCACGTCATTACGCGTTTACAGGTGTTGGCAATGATCGGGGATCAGTTGGATTTCGGCGACAGTGTCTGTGGTGCTGTTTTGAGCATTCGTTTTGGGGAGGACATCCTTAGCATATGGAACCGCAATGCTTCTGATAATCAGGTACAGCGTCAGTTCAGGCCCCACAATTTCTTCTCTTACAGAGGACACTTCCCTTGTTACTTATCAAGTTGTATATCCTTATGCTCCTACAATGCGTTCATTTTCTCGTACCACAGCCTATATGCTTCTAGACCGCTCTAATTTTTATTACAGTTTCTTATTGGTTTTGTGACGTAATCAAAGGGTCTCGTTTATAAACAGATTAACAATGGTTCGGTATTCGTGAATGAATCATGTGCAGGCTGTCATGGCTCTTCGTGATTCAATTAAGCGGCACCTTCATTTGCCTATTGGATATATGATGGAGTACAAACCTCACGATGCTTCGTTGCGTGACAATTCATCTTTCAGAAATACGTGGTTACGTGGTTAGTGGAAGTGGTTCTACACAAAGTTACACTGATATACGAGAGAGAATTACTGAAGTAGACCTCAGGGCATATAGTGAAGTGCTAGTAATGGCTCGAGTCTGTCTGGCTTCAGATGTGTAAGTGGTTGGCTTTCGGATGTGATAATCTTGTGAACTTGGTTATGACTATTTTGAGGTTTCCACGCTTGGCTTGAGTATCCGAGGTAGTTTTTTACTTTGTTCGCAGCGCTGAAAATCATGAAATGAATATTGATGTCATCAGCGTTTTACATGCAGCTTTGAATACCGACCTTTATGTGTAGTATCAAAGAATCAAGGACTAGGCAATTCGCTTTAGTTCATGTCATAAATATGATAACTAAATTTGGCTGTGGAACTAGAGTTTCTGACTCGCCTTCGTTGAAATGAGTTTTCACCTGTAGATATTGCTGTCTTTTCCACAAGACTTTTTTTTAATCCATCATTTCGTGTCTTGTTTGAAGATGAGATATTTTTTCTTAATACATGAAACATGAAACACAATCATTATTCCATTTGAGAGTGTAAATACAATGGATTCATCAACGCCGGCTTCAGACCCGTGGCATGAGTACAGAAGGCAAGCGTCGCAAATAAGACGTAACAATGTGGCGATAACCCATATGTTTTCACTCAATTTGTTTTTGTTAATGAGGGTTCACTTACGAAGTACTAAATCACGAGGTGGGCTGCGGGTGATGGTCTTCATTGACTTGAGGGAGTACGCAACCGCCAAGAATGGGGCCGCAGACGATGTCTGCCGAGAGCGTGCTGATGGCTTATCACTTGCGAAGTACAACCAGACAGATCGAACTGAATCAAGATTTGCTGGAATCCTATAGACTTGTAATTGGACGTAACTATCAGACAAGACTAAGCTCACAGTCGACTGTACTTCACTGGAAAGTTCAGAAACCTCTCCATACAGAAGATTCAGCTGTCATGTTTAGTCAAACTTATCCTCATAGGAGGTTCGTTAGTGTCGCAGGCAGGAATCATACTGATAAACAAGCTGGATCTTATTCACAGGCAGTAATAGAGAACAAAGACAAGAAATTCAAGCACCCAACTGCTGCACAGGCAAAGTGAATTCAAGAGCTGGTATTTTCTTCTCACTAATGAAGAAATTGCCCAACTCTTGAATTCACTTTTTGGAGGCTCTACACTTCCACAGGACATTCTTGTCAAAAGGCTCTACACTTCCACATCTTTTAAGGTTTTATAATTATTTATGTTGCATTTGAATTGCTAGTTCATAGTACGTGTGGTTTAGAACCGATAGCAAGTAAAGGGTTCCCAACCCATATCAAAGGTGGCCGTAACCATCCACATTTAATACAGCTTTGACGGTATATCTTGGTATGCTTTCATCCGTACTCGGTTGTCTGATAACATTGCAGACGCTGAAAGGCGAGATAAAGCTAGAGCACAAGCTTCTGCTTCAAACTTGTTCCAAGCAGAATTTTGTGCAAGTGCTATACACAATGCTTCATTTATTGTGCTGCATACACTGCCAAAGAGGCGTACTATAAATTGCCTAATTCACTGATGAAACAAAGCATTATGAGACAAAACAAGGAACGGGAGGTGTCATCAACGATTTTCTCGCTAATAGGTAACAGCGTAATCCCCAGCCTCATACCTAAAGTAAACACTGCCGAACACGTGCAACGGGCGCGGAGGAAATAATCTTTATGGGGATGAAGCCACATTTATTCCTTAGCAAATACTGCAGAACTGAAAGACTTCCCAAGCTTATTACTTTGACAGTGTAGGAAGTCTTCATAACACGATGAAGAACACACTCCTATAGACTTAACTGAGGATGATATACCCTGGTGCCTAGGACCGTACAAGTCCTCAAACACATATTCGGTAAGTGGTCACACCATTAATATTTTGGGTGACAATCTTATCCGCTTTCGTAAGTAACATAATGCCTGCTCTCGCTTTTGATCCTGCAACAAAACATCAAACATCATAAGTTGAAATGAAACATAAGTTTCACGTACTGTCATTTTTCACAAAGGACACTACAGCTACAAAAGTGAGGTTTTGGTGCCCATCGACTTCTACTACACAAGGAGTGAATAGTACTGCGAGATTGTATATTCACCGAATACCCCTCACTGTGTAAAGATTTTTTGATTGCGAACTGGTATAGTCTCAGAAATAGTAGCACAACATAAAAAATAAAAACAAAAAAGTATAGATGAAGATGAGAACCTAGTCCAAGAGCTTGAACATCTTTTTGATCAAGAAAAAACTGTGTGGCATGTTGCCCTCCAATGGTACGCTGACTTACTAGATCATTGATTTTAGCGACTGCACCATTGAGCTCCTGGAAAGCAATAGCAGAATCAGAAACCATTGTGAATGTTAAAGAAATACCCCAATACGCCATAAAACTTGACTCATGCTCCAAAGGTAACCATAAACCAACTTTGCTTGCAGGGTCAAAATAAATTCGTACTCAGATAATATTGCTAAGAATACAATAAAGATAGGAAGGAAGAATTAAAGTAACACCTGCAAAGAGACCTGAGACCTTAGCCATATGGGAAGATTGTCGTATTGTACACTGCTTATTTCAGTAAGAGAGGGAACATTATTGGTTTCTACGCTTTGAACAGTTTCATCTGCAACATTTTATAAAATTAAGAGTTAACAAGTAAGAACCTACGATAATCACAAGAAATCAAGAGATCTACGAATCAAGAATCAATACAATTGAAAGAAGAGTATTTTGTAAAATATTCAAGGTATTCGGATATTTAACCGATGACGATGCACTAGTACCCTAATTTTCAACGACATACGAATCAGATTCAATTGAGATGTGAACTAGAGACGACTTTAAAAGATTTTAAAAGAGGGACTTAGAATGGTTTGGTGTCTACATCGAAAAAAGTTTTTAGTCACAAAATCAGAAAGCATTTCTAGATAAGGAGTTGTGGTGCAACCTCTTGTAGAAAAAGTTGTGGTTGTTGTAGAATTCGTAGATCCAATGCCACACCCATTAACAGGTTTATTGAAAACAACTGGTATGGAATCATGTCCATACGTTGAATCAAACATTGAATCTGATGTGCTCGGAAGTGGTATATGCTTTATATCTGCTTCGGAAGGTCTATGACTGCCGAACTTTGTCTTCAAATTATCCTCAATTTCAGAATCCCTGTAATGGTTTTATAGCCGCATCAGATACTTTACTCTCTCAACACAAACACCTAATTCTCTGACTCCATGATTACTGTCACACGGCACGATAGAATCGTCAAGAAACATCGGCAGTTCACAGATATAAACCACGATTCATCTACAAAATAATTTTTCAAATATAGGACCGTCCTAGAACATACTTGAATTGTGACAGTTTATGATTGAGCTTATAAACTGAAGTTGTGATATCAATCTTTGTTATAGTTAAGTTCAACGTATCTAAGTAGTAAGTTCGAAACTAGATTACCTCATGCTTATCATCACATCTTTTTTCGGCGACTCCACGAAAGTAAGCTTGTGTTGAAGTGGATGAACGGAGCTAACAGGTTCATCTGCAACTCATCGAAATACAACGTCAAGAGCTTCTATCCAAACTCTACTAGAGAAAGAACACTTGATCCAGCACAAACAAGAATGTGACCAGGCAGGAAACATTTCAGATAGACTCAACATAGTTATATCTCTGTGTTCATTTGTTCCTGTCTTATTCTTGAGTCTTAAAAGTAGCTGTAAAGACCTACAATCGACCACAAGAAGTTAACCTGTTTACCAAACTAACATTCCCACCCTAACTTTGAAAACAAATGCAATATAGTACAAGCTACATAAAAGTCGGTAGGATTCGTTGGTAACCTTGACTAGCCAGTGCTGTGAGACTCGTGGCAGAAATACCAAGGCTTTCCAGATTTTCAAGGTCTCCTAAATCACCAAATCTGCTCTCCGTTTAGGAACACAATTCAAAAAGATAAGCAGTATACGTCAAGTCAATAAGTACATCTGATCCACAAGAAGTTGAATTTTTTTTGGTCAGGATACAAAGGGCTGTATTCAACGTCTCTTTTAGTATTCTTGGCTGAATATGAGAGCGCCACTGGTGTCGTTATAGATGTCTCATTCTCATTGACTGAGGGTGGAGTAACCCCAGATCTAGGTGGTGAAATCGCCTCATCTAAAATATGAGACTTCGTTTCGATTTCCTGGTGCGAATGACCATGTAGAACTTCAATATGAGTTTGTTTGGGCACTTCAACTGCATAATAGCAACACATCGTGTTTAAACCCAGCGGAAGTCAATATTATCTGTCCACGAATCCTTTCTCAAGCATGTCATTTGTTGTTCTAGAGTATATCATCATATCAACTTTCAGCTGCTAGTTGTTCCAACTCACAACCGAATATTACATGCTGACTTAAAATATGGGTACGCTCTACAAGTTGATGGCACACGGCTCTCTCTGCATTCCCGAGGAAATAAAATTATAATGAACAACACACCTGGTGTGTAACCATACTGCTGTAGTTGGAGTTCGAGTTTGGCAATGCCGTCCTCATTCGACTTGTACAAGGCATCGCAGTGCACTAGGAGTTCCTCAAATGATAAAGTGTCAGTTGTTCTCTCCTCTAAATGCTGAAGCTCCGCTAGGGCAGAAGTTATATCCTCATTCAGATCTTCCAGAAAAATATCGAAGTTGTGGTCTAGTATATTGACAACCACAACCAGAACATACGCACTGTTGCATGAGTTACCACAAACTACACAATTCACATCACTTTTCAACCGAGAGAGAGAGGGGGAGAGAGAGAGAGAGAGAGAGAGAGATTGTTGCTTGTGGTGATGAGAAAAATTCGTAGAGAAAAGTGTAATGAACAAAATCAAATCAAATCAAGCAGAGAAAATGAACTGATTACACTACAACAACACCTAGCAATGTCTGGTAGAATTGGCGAAAATTCGTGTCAATGCCTACTCTTGAAATTGAGGATCAACATCAATTTCTATCTTTTCTTTACTTGATCACAACTGTCCTGACCGTAAAATCGATCACCAGCTGATTTAGACCTGATCACATCTTCGCATCCACAATCGTCTATTCAATAAAATAGCAAAAACCTCTAACCTCTTGATTGCGATTCCGGCTTTCGTTGGACAATGCTGTGCAGGGAGGAACAATTTTTCTGAAGTTGCGTGCAAAATTGATTCAATCTATCACACCACGCAGCTGCCAGCATCGACGTGCTCGGCGCCCTCTGAGACGCCATCGCAAGATATTTGGAAACAATCCCAAGCCTCAACTTAACCTAAGTCCACTACATTAAGCAAGTCGCAACCTCATCCAAGCCTAACGTTAACGAAAATGCGCCAGACCAGAAATCGAAACATTACAACAACCGCTCAGGCGACCTCATTCACGCACACAACAAGGAAACCTCAGCCAAATCTCCCTACAACATCCTGCGTTCCAACAGGCAGCTCCTCGATACAAAAACTCCTGTAACACGAAGCTCCCCGCGAGTTTTTCCACAGCTCCATGAACCAAAAAGTCCCGCGGATGTCAATTCCAAAACGTACCGGAACACCAGTCCCAGAAAAAACCGCAAGTCATCAAAAATAAAAAAATAAATAAAAAAGCACTGCGAGCATCGACAAGTCGCGACCAGGAAGAGCTGAATCCAACGAAAAGCGCCGCAGCTACGGCAATCGCCGGGCTTTTATCAAGCTCTCAGAATTTGAAGAAACTCCCTGGGAACAGGGAACTCCATTGGGAACGACGGAGGGGCCACGAACTCGACATTTATCGTTCAATTTAAAACGTATCGTTCCTGAGGAAGATGTTTATTTGCTGGAGTTGTTCATGTGGACGATAACCACCTTCGATGTGGACGGACGTTACGAAGGGACGTCAGGATTCGTCCGGTCGTTCGGAAACCCAGATTTGAATGTCCTTGAAAGTAATGTCGTTGCTCAAACACTGTCGCTGCCTTGCTGCGAGAGATTCATTCACGCATTTTTTCCTCAATTGCGCGTCTGTCGCAGCGCGAGTTGAAGCACAGATTGTCCTCGTTTCGGTCATCGAATCCCGTCGTCATGTCTGGGTTCGGCAAGGACAGGGATCCGTCCAAGCGATCGACTGATGGAGCGCAGGTGCAATGGTAGTTTGTGAGTTGGGTTGGTCTTTGCTGTGCAGTTCTGAGATTCAGTGGGATGTGATGTTGGAATGCACCAACTATTTTATAGACTTCTCGGCTGTGATGTTTTCCTTGTGGTTGTGCAGAATGACTGCGACAGCTTCGGAAACAGGGACCATGTCTACCAAGTGGGTATTCATTAGAAATACGTGACAAATTGTTGCAAATATGTGTTGTGATTGTTTCGAGAACGTTTGCAGAACATTCTCGGTGGCACCTGCATCGTACATTTCTATGTTTGTGTGGAACTTGTCATCTCAAAATAATCAAGTGGGACCAGTCAGAATGGCTTAAACTGTCAGCTTTCTTGCATTCTGCATTCTGTTTGAATTTTGTTTGGGAGACTTCACAGATAATGTGAGTACTTTACTCGTGGTTCTGAATTCGGTGCTGTTATCTAGAATGGTGAGTGAGTTACGTGTGGAGGGAATTGCAGAGAATCGAAGGAGGTAGCCGAGACCAGAAGAAGCAGTATGACCTGGCAAGAGCAGTCCAGGATTCGACTGCCCAAAGCAATGAGGAGACTGGTGGCATTCTCGGACCACTGTGTAACACCAAATCTCAACTAGTAATTCTTGTCGCACCTGTACTCAAAGGCCGTTCCTTACCCTGAAGTGTTCGCTACTGTGTAACAATCCGTTACTCATTTCATAAAATCTGAAACTTGTCGGATCTATTTATCGCAACAGTGATCGGGCAAAGATCAACGATTCACTAAGTGTCCGGCAAATGTGCTGTAAGTTGATAACCGAGGACGAAAATTATTAGTCTCGAAAGCAACGGTTCAAATCTTCATGTAGAATCATATTCTAACCATTGTTCTAAAGGTTTCATTCACACATGGTGCTGGAAATACATTTTCGAGAAAGGCTGATATATTTTCGTGATATTCTTTACTCTGAAATAAGAACGTTTGCACAACCACGTGTACATGTTCTAAATTGGTGTTTCGAGGGAGGATGTCAGATTCGTAGAGCTGAGGAAGATGCCGAATACCAAAAATTGAATAGATTGCAGAGGTTGCGGAGATTCATGTAACTGACACCCTCTGAGAACATGACATTACCTGCACGAATCGGAACCTGCAACTCGATACTCAACCCTCAGAGAATATAATATCAACGATAAAACATAGAAAGTTCTATTGTGTGTTCTTGTATCCAGAGTAACAAATAGACTGCGAACTGCAAAACTTTCTCAGAAAAAACATTTCTATCAAATTGGTGCAATCTCCGTGCTTTCCTACTTGTGAACTGTGTACTCACACTTATACCCTACTACGCTCTCTTTCTGCTACAGCCCAGCCATAATGCACATTCTCAAAGCTTCTATCCATCGTTCTTACGTGTCTAAAGGGTGGATTTTCAGCTTGCGTTACCACCTTGAACTACTTCACAAGTCAAGTCGAATGAAATAGCTGGTGATAGAAGCGTTTAGCACCGTCGCCCAATGTGTGCCAATTGATCTCTTGGATGAATGGTTTATCAGTAGTCTATACCAACTCACACGACTTATTTACTGACGATGAAACATGGTTCAAAAGGGGAAATAGAAGAAATACAACACGAAGAACATAATGTTTGATCATTTTGCTTGTCTTCTCACCTGCCAGCACATTAAGCCTTCCTCAATACCCAGATCGAATCTTTATCACATTCACAGATCGAGTTTCAGAAAGGAAGATGAAACTGATGATTGAAGATGACTGGAGACTGAATAATGCACAATGAATTGAATAAAAGAGTAATCAATGACAAGAGCTTCATGCCCTGCACCAAAAACAAAATCCCAAAAGTACTTGTATACCTGAAAAGCAAGATTTCGTTCTCATCACACAAAATGAAGCATAGATAAAGGTGCGCATGTACTCTTATCAACCTTTGTTACAAAGTAAGAAAAGGTTGGGGGGGGGGGGGGGGGGGGACACTGACCCTGCGTAGGTATTTCCTGTGAAGCTTCATAGCTGCTTTGCAAGCTTCCTTAGGGTCGACCTTCCCAGTTATGTCATTCAGCAGCTGCAAAAACAGAAAAGAGAAGCATGCAGCTTATATTTAGACGTTCACATGAAAGAAGCAACATGGATGTTTCATAATGAAAGCAGTCAAAATTCGTAACAAAGGAATCGGCTCAACACGGGTAACACGATTTAAGCATTAAATCGGATTCGCTACCATTTTATGCCAAGCTTGTATAACTGACCTTTAACACTTCGTCTAATCCTTGAGTCTCTTTCAGTAGTCGGTGACGTTGCATTTCAAATATTGCAACAGCACAGAACAGGGATAAGGGCGCGTTTCCCCCAGGCATTCTAGATGCTCCATATTTTTCATTTTGCGCGTCATACTTCCCTCTACCTTTGTATTTGACCCTTAAATTCCAGCCTCTACTCGTGCTCGCTTCATGTGGAGATAGTGGAGTATATTCCAACGCCCACATCATCTGCCAAGCACATGAACAATCAAACGATGCATACGAAATATGAAAGGCAAGTCTAACCAAGACAGTCTAAGAGAGTAATTCTGCACAAACTAGCAAAATAGGAACTTTTTATGACACTAATAGGCGTAAAGCCCAAGATATACTCCTATTTTGGGGTGACAGCATTAATAACTTATCCTACTGATCTTTTCTTTTAGGTTTGACCTTATCATTTGAAACATATCAGATGCTGTTGGCGTCAGGCAGTGTACCTACCTCCCATAAGTAAAGAGTATCGACAAAAGTGAATTCTCGTCGAAAAAGAACCATGATCATACGAAAAGCAAATATGTAATTTCCTCCTCCAATAGAATCTACACACGAAATGAAGTTCCAAAAACCCTAGTCAGCCCAAACTATCTTTTTACTGCCATTGTGTTTTAATTTGATACAATATATGCGGTTTGAAAGACAAAAACTCTTACTAGATAGCACAACTGGATAATCTAGATATCACTACGTCTTACAGTGAAAAAACCTTTTACCAAAAACATTCTTGAGATATTTCTTCGACGACGCTGTAGTGGCATTACCAAAATATTCTATTAAAAAGTGTACTGAACCAACATAGGAGAAGATTGCTGTACCTATATGCTGATGAAGCTTGGGATCTAAAACTTTCAACAAAATCGCCAACACGCCAAGTTGCTTCTGGACGCCAACTTCTTTATCTGTACAAGTGAAGTTGTCGCGCTTTGCACACAAAACTACATCAGTTGGACTATAGGCTATGATGCCTATCACTGATCAAAATGCAGAATACGTAAAGGAAGCCCAAGCAGGCTGCTAGCACCCATTATCCTTATTAATTGAAGAAGTCTGTTTTTGAAAAGCTTCCGGATAGTGGTTTACCACACGGTTCATAATGCGCTCAAAACACCAGAACGCATCAGCCTCATTTGGAAACATCAAAACTAGCGGCGAACAGAAATCGCTCATGCCTGGGACATATTAGCAGAGAGAGGGTCATTTTGATAAGTACGACATTTGAGAAAAACTGCAAAGTTCACTTAAACACATATGAGACCAGTTTGTAATGATGGATCAAAGATTAAAAAGTGAATGTGCCGTTTGTGGGCTCCATGTACTAATTGAATCTCACCTTGACAGTAACCGATAGCAGGATCCAACCAACAATATACAGCTAAAATGTCCCAAAGCTTTGACATGTGCTCTTGAGATTCATAGTATTGCAGCATCCTATCTGTACGCACCACATCCAATCCTGGAAAAATGTGCAAGTGCTGTAGCTTAAACAAATGTCCAGTTCAAACGAAGGCAAGGAACCCAACCCACAAATCACACAAAAATCACACACAAAGTAGTTAAATTCCACGGCATGCAGTGTACAAGAAATAAAATTAATAAATAAATAAATAAATAAATAACACACAATAAACTCAAAAGAAGATGATTTAGTCAACTTTTCCTGCTGGAACCCAGTACAGATTGTTTAACTCAATAGTGACGCAGATTTACAAACCAATCTGATGAAGGTTCAGTTTCCACTGTATCGTCTTCGCATCCGGCTTTTCGAAAGGGGCTTTTGAAGTCCCTTGATGTGCTCCGTTGGTGTGTCCTGCAGATTCAGCCTCATTTAATACTCCATATCCTCTGTTGTGAATTAAATAAAAACCACATAAAAGACAGTGCTGTATATCGGAACAGCATATGCAAAAGTGTTACCCCTTAGAAGGTTACAGAATACCGTTTCGGCGGGGGCTGTTTTCCTCTGCGCCAGAAATTTCTCCACCATTGTATTCCTCCACTGGACTACCATCTTCATTTATGCGTGGTGCAGTTGCATACTGACCACTGCCAATCAAATCATCCATTGCCTGGCATTCTGATTTGAGCTTTGCATAATGCTCTCTGCACAAAACAGATGAATTTATTTTAGAACATATGAGATGAAGAAGGAAGAATTCGACCGCCAAAATAAAACGATCCCTACTCTTGTCAAATTCCGTTAAGAAGACCTGCCTTGCGAAAATCAACTATGAAGTGTTTACTTTCAGGAAAATTAAAACATATTAAATTACCTGCGAGATGTTCGAGTGGCATCTCGTTCTTGTGCTGTGGTGCTGGGAGGAAAGCAACCTAACAGAAACTCCCATACTTCTGCCCTAATTGCTGGATCAACGCCCTGGGGACACATTACACAGAAAATTAAGTCTTATACAAAAATCACCATCCCTTTGCAGAAAATAGACAGGTGGACTACTTAAATTCAGTAAAAGTAGCAATACCATGTCTAGAAATTTAGAAATTTGAAGGTATTTAGAAATTTTCGTGCTCTTCAAATTTTCTAATACCCTTCAAAGTCCAGTTAATTGAATGGCATAAAGTGCACTATTCGCCTTTTAAAGTTCTGCACTACATTTCAAGTGGTTATGAAAACATGCTCACCCCTCTTCGTATGCGTTTGAGAACTTTGTCCAATTTCAGCTGGCCATCCTCGTTGAACGCTCGGTACCAAGCCGTGGGGCTTAGCGTTTTCCCGGCCTGCCTCAAATGCAGCACGCCAAACCATATATTTACGGGATTTTGACTGCTATTAATAACCTTCTAACGAGAATTCGGTGCGTTGAGAGAGAGAGAGAGAGAGGGAAGCTAATCTTAAGCCGATCCTACACTTTCCTTCACAATGGGAGGAAGAAGAAGAAAAAAAACAAAAAAAGTTCAAAAAACGAAGCGAGTATTGATCACTTAACGTAGTACAGAACATGCAAGGACCACAAACTATGAGAGGCTAGATCTCCACACAAGTGTATGTTGCGAATGTAGACAACTTGACGAAGCTACGTCGAGATCAACCAACTTCTACAAACAACTGCTGAGCAATGTGGGTACGTAGCAGCAACAACAGGACAGTGGCAGCAGCAACGGCATATTTCCGTCCAAAACTGCGACATGAATGTGCGTGAAAAAGGAAAACACTAGATAGACAAAAGCCTAGAAATTTAGAAGGATCTTAGTCACCAACCTTATCAACATCTCGCAGCACAGACTAAGATCTTCAGAAAATGTAGCTACTTTCCTACTCTGAATCGGGAAGCCTCTCAACAAACCGACCCCTGCCTCCATCACGTAGTACCCAGTTTCAGCTCACTGCGTACTTTCTCAAGGAAGGACATACTAAATGTTAACAAGTACAGGAAAAAACACACACATACGCACACACACACTCACACACACATACACACACACGCGTAGCAAAGCACCTTGACACGGAAGCGAGGCGGAGCCGAATCGGTGCAGTCAGGTCTCAGGGCATACGGGTCGCGGGTCGCCATTTGAAAATATGAGAAGCCGACTCTTCTACAACATTGTTGCAGCACCTTGTAAATCACCAACACCAGACACCGCGCCTCCGAAAACGAATCCCACCCGACCAAATTAACCCTATCACTCAAACTTGCCACACCAAAACGATCGAATTCATCACGTAAACCTAGGATTTGCCAAGTCCACTACAGCCCCCCTTTATTTGGACACTGCAACACTTGCGGTGGGACCTCGCCCGCCCGAAATTGAACGCAAAACACAGCTATCCCATTTCTCGAGAACTGCACAGAACCCCTAGAAGTACACACACATCACATGGCTCATTTGATTCCATCCCCTACCACGCAGATTTCACACAGACAACATTGTGCTCTGCCTTTTCAAATCTATTACCGCAGCGACGAGTTGATATCTTTGTGGGCTGTCATTTACAAATTACATCCTAACTCTTCTTCCCTTCCTTAAATTTCTTCTGTATGCGTGTGAGTTTTTTTCTTCGTTATTTTCTTCTGTTTTTTCTCCCCCTTATCTTTTACAAAAAAAAAATCTTTTTATTTCCTGTTCTCATTTTTCTATGTTTTCGAGAAGCTACATAGAGCTATGTTACAAGTTGGAGCGAGGTGGGCGATTTACCCCTTTATAGCATACCGGAAATTGTTTTTTCTTCGAGGGTCAAATAGCTCAAAAAAAAACTGCGGCACTGTGATGAGTTACTGTGCCATGCCAGGACACTGCAACGTGACATCTAACCCCCGCCACCGCATCGATGCGGACACACCCTTAATAGAGATATATATTATGGCACAGACTCAGCTCTGCCACAATGTTACAGCAGTAGTAGTAGTATTCCGTCTCCTTCTCCTCCTCCTCGTCCTCACTCACTATTCTTGTACAATTCCCCCGCAATTCCTTCAATCTTACCAACAATGCAGTGAGTGGATGAGTGAGTGAGTGACTGCACTGGTTGGCTCCATCTCATCACCACCTTGCAATTCCTTGTACATCAAACACATTCTTCAACGATGGAGCGTTCTTCTTTCGAAACCCACTTTCTCCTTCGCCGTGAGCTCGTGTTTTTCTTAATGCCTCTAGCTCTCGATTCTCTGCATCGTATCTCGTTTTCATGGATTGTTGGAGATGGCTTTTCCTCGGAGATGATAGTTTTTTTTTTTTTTTTTTTTTTTTGAGACAAAAATGGGGTTCACGGGATGCATGCATTGATAGAGAGGGTGTGTTACAAACGACACATTATCCTTCTAATACTAACACTGGAAGAGAGCAAAAAGAATAAGGGTCATAAAAGAAGTAGATATTGTTATCTTCTAATTTGTATCACTTGTGTGTATTATCAAACTATTTTGTAGTATTCAAAAGTTCTATTTAATAATTAATTTTATTGATTTAAAATATAATATTGTAGATGGATTTATTTTTAAAAAATCTATTAAATTTCTTTAGTAGTATAAATGATATAAATATAAATATTTTTCAAAAAAGATATTATTTCAATTTAATTTTCTTACACTCCATTAAAAAACATTTAAAATAAATTTATTTTTTATAGTTTAGAAATCAAGACAAATTGATTAAAATGCAAAAATAAATAAATGTGCATTTAGTATGAATACTAATGTTCTTGTATTTAATGGTGTTTGGCACATACTTAATTTTTCACAAGACAAGACAATATTCCACATTATATTAATTTAAAATTTTTGATTACTAATTTTTAAATTATTTGTATTGAAAGCAAAACATTTAGTGAAGATATTATATATGTATAGATAAAAACCATTTAAAAAAAATTAGTTTCTGAAAATTTACTTAATAAAAAACCAATTATTATACATATTTTTTGCATATTATAATTATTTTACTTTTACATTTCTAAATTCATATAAATTCTTGTTCTAATATTTATAGTATTAAAATTCTATGATTTGACAAACAAAAAAATATGAAACTTTAACACACTTACTTTTATAAATAAAATTTGAAACTTTTATTGAAACTATTGATTTTTTATTACTCATAAATGTAACTTTTTTGTAAATATATAATTATTCAATCTAAATTTATAATTATTAATCATCAATGTATTTTTTTTGTAAATATATAATTTATTACACATGCCACTAATTTGTTGGATATAGTGCATTATGATACTTGTTGAGCAATAAACTTTTAGAAAGTAATTTTCAACTATAATTTAAAAATTATAATTAAGATTTAGATACACAAGTATAATTAAATAATAAATACACCATTGTAGGCAAAAAAATATTATTCATTTTTAATAGCTTCACCATGAATTTGAAACAGAAACCAAAGGCAAATTCTATGTATACATGCAATTGGTATTTCACAAATACTCTTACTTCGGAGACCTCTAACAAAACTTCAAAAATAAAAACAAAAATAAATCACACATATTACAGATGTGGAATTTTTAACACACTAAACATACAAAAAAAAATAGATTGTGGGAAGAATGAATTTGATGCACAAAGAATTAAGTGTGTATATCCTGGATATTATAAAAAAAATTACATAAGTAAATTTAATTGGATTTATACAGAAATAAAAAGAGATTCACGTACAAGTTGAAGAAAAAAAGTGTACAGCATCAAGCCATCAACAAGAACATGGTATCAACACATTGTGATGTTTTGTTTAAAATAGAAAACAGACAAAGAGTGGAACAGTTTTTATTTATATGTAATAATATCAAATATTTTATATAGTAATCCTTATATAAGTTAACATTAGGAAACTAAAATTTAAAATAAATAAATTTTAATACAATAGTATTTTAAGATAAGTGACCTTACAAAGTTACAACATTGTCTTAAGGTTAAATCTGTAAAAGACTTCTATAAGTTCACTATGACAATTATCAAATACAATTTTGCTTTTTTTAAAAGAAAATTTTTGTAAAGAGTTCTTCACAATTTTTTTACAAATTTATCAGTATTTTTTTTATTGTTTATTTGAATTTGAATTTGAATTTTTTTTTTTTTTTTTTTTTTTTTTTTTTTTTTTTTTTTTCTATATGGCATATAAATATAAAGAATTTTTAATAACATATGAAAAAAAAACTTATTATTTGATTTGCATAATGATTTTTTGAAATTTAACATAAATAATATATCTTGTATAATGTGATGATTTAATTTTTTTTTGATAGTCTATGTATATTCAATTAAATAGTACAAAGTTTTATTAAAAAGTAAATAATATTTTAAATCATTTATAAAATATTTTAATGTTTATATTTTTTAGAATCAATGATTTTTGCATCAATAGTAACTTTTTACATTATTCAATTTTTATTTGTTGGGATTATAAAAACACTAAAATCATGAATAATTTTTTTTAAATATTATTTTCAAAATTAAGTGCATTTTAAGTTTGATGTTTTCTTTTCTTTTCTTTTTAATAATTAAATAATGACTTAATTTTTTTAAATTGTATTGAGTAAGAATTTCAAAAAAGAAATCATTCAAAGATCATTCAAAAAGTACTCTTGAAGAAGAGATATCTATATTGTTGCAAGATTAGATTTTGTTGTAATATATATATATATATTTATATATATCAATTTATTTTGTGCTATATATGGTGAGGACTAGTGTATTCAGAGCATTTGGATTGTTAATTCCATTGTGTTACATGATTGAAACACCAGGTTAACCTTCAAATGCTTGAGTAGAATTTTCATCTATGTATATCAAAGGACTACCTTCATATTTTTTTTAAACTAAAGTACATGAGTTGAATTGCATCAATGGCAACATATCATTGATTACCTCTATTTGGTCTTTTGTAATCAAGCTTGATCCAAATAACAAGCAATCTTTCCATCGAATCATGCACAACAGTATCTTCATCAAAACAGCAAAGCTTCAGCTACACCGAAGCTCCAAACCAGCAAACAAAATTTGCAAAGACACGCCCATTTACAAACTCTGTCTTCTACCCTTCCATTTTGTAAAGAAAAAGTATCAACTGGTGAGATTGTTACAACTTGGAATGATTCGAACACAAATGGGTGAGTGCAGGCCAAAGCCATGTTGTTTTTCTCATCACAATCATCCTCTGCAGACAACTCCAATCTGACCGACCAACCAACTTACATCCGTCTCCGGTGTCGGTATTCCACGAAATGTACGACTTCGAAGATGTGTTGCATACCAGCGCCGACAGCTTCGAAGAAAGCCGGCGATGGAGGATCACAACGTCTTCTCGTCACAACCCATCTCGATGGACTCGTATTCATTCACTGGTCCATCCAGATACCATTCCGCGCCCAACTTCATCGAGCGATGTCGGCGATGGTGTGAGAATCCCACACACACTGTTGGGTTTCGTCATGGGTTTCTTCCCGTCCGCTCTCTCTCCCCATCTCGCAGTCTAGGCAACGCAATCTCCAATTCCGCTAGAGCAGCCTAGTCTGTCGCCGAGGCGCTGCTGCAGGGAACGAAAAAAAATACATCGAACTGATCCGCAACCGAACAATCCCGACGAAGCAGGGTCACTTCGAAACAAAAGTATGTGTGTGTGTGTGTGTGAAACAAATCTGGCATTGGAAATCACGCAAAATAACGGACACCCATTCTCCGACATGGATCGACGTTTTTTTTCGATCCCTGACAGAAAAAATTCAAAAAAACAAAGGGGGGGGGGTCAGTAGGGCGTGTCTTCCGATGCGGCAACACAAAATTCAACCCCCCCCCTTTCAAATACTTTATTTAGCACGTGGTGAGGAAATCCTCTTCCTTTTACTTTTTAGCTGGACTTGGGAACCATCGACCACGGGGGCATTATTAGTATTATTATTAGTGTGGTGAAAGAAATCGTGTGGTGAAAGAAATCGTGTGGGTAGTTGGATAAAATAGAATGGTTGCGGCGAAGGGGGAGTGAGTACCTACCACCCCTACGACCGTGGCTACCACTTGGACTAGTTGATGGTTGGTCGGGCACTGCCTTCCTTATGCCACGTCCGCGCCACGTGTCGTCACATTCGAGGCCAGTTGCGGATGCGAGGATGAATGAATTGATGTCTCCGTTCGTTGTATATGGGGATGAGATGATCGTGAGTTTATGTGACTGTATTGTTGTGGATGTGGGGTCTGTTTGTTGTAGGTATTCTATTATAGAAATAGGTCCTTTTGGGATTTACGGGGGAGAGAATGATTATTTAGTGCTATTATTATTATCATCAATAGTTTATTTATTTTAATATTTTTAGATGGGGAACAGGTGTTCCTATATTTATGTGCAAATGCGAGACTAAATCTTTATGTAAATTGAACACCAAGAGTGGGAGCGAAGATTGGTTTCGTCTACTTACTTATAATAAAAACTGCCATTCTCTCTCCCGCTTGCATCGTTTAAAAAACCTTTTGTTTTTCATTTCCCTTCATAAATGTCTGAACACTGAATCGTGCAAATAAGTTGACTAACCACGATTTTTCATAAAAATGTTTCACGTCGTTACATATAAAAATTTATTAGATAAATAGACGGCCTATTTTATTCCAATTACATATATTAACTAATAGAGAGATTTTCAAATTCCCTAAACCGGAGACGCTTTTAATCTCATCTACACTATCTTCAAACTTGTAAAAACATATATATATATATATATATATATATAATTGTGATATTGGAAAATGTTTAACAAGGGAATAATACATCCACTAATTTGTGTAAACAATCACGCACACATACTTTCATTAAGTTCCCATATGGTTAGAAATAAATATATGAAAATAATAACAAGAGGAGAGGCAACTATGGGCCTGACTGTAGCACGCAAGCAAGGACAAAGGGGGGAATTGCCCCCCCCCCCCCCCCACCCCTGTGTATTAAAATTATTAATCACAGGCGGACTTCATGTTTGCCTCGTCAGCAAACAGAGGTGGGCCACGTCAGGTGATTTCCACGTCAGCGCCGTTATTGGCGAGCTTCGCGGGAGTTCGTGGAGGGGCGTGCCATGCCCTTTTCTCTTGTTCCTTGACGTCGTCGAAAGGGTACTTCCTTCACGTTTCTTCGTCTGTCCATTTTTTTCGTTCGTTCGTTCGTTCTCATTTCATTGTGGTCGGTTAGTTGTGTGGTTTGGTTAGTGAGTCACCATTTCGAATTTTTCCTTTTATTCCCTCATAACAAATTCTGGAAATATCACGAAATATCACAACAAGAATACGATTTTTTAACATGATTACATCAAATAAATAAATAAATATATTGTACTCTGTTTATTTATTTTATACTTGTTTATGTGATTTGCTTTTTCTTTTTCTTAAACCTTAATTACTTATTGAGGTTGTGGAGTTTTGGAGTTGCATGTTTTTATTTCATTTTTTTAATTTTATGTTTATAGTTATACAAAACTTATTGATTGAATGGTTTTATGGTTATATATATATATATATATATATATATAGACACACACACACTCAGACACACATTATCATGCTTCTAAATAATATTCCAACTATTAGTTCCAATTTATGCTGAAGTTAATTATTTCTTTAAGATAATATATATAAAAATAAAAGTGCATTATTAAAAAAATAGAAATCATGTTTTTATACTGAATATTATTTTTTACTGTTTCAAGATTATTTAAAAGAAAATTTCATAAGAAAATTTCAACAAGTTTCATAAGAAAAATCTATCACTTCTTGATTATTAATACCAAATGTAAGCCAATATTATGATACATCTCATTGTATAATAATTAAAAAAAATATATGTATATACGCTATCTGATTGTCAAACTTTAAGTTCAGTTGTTAACTTTACCGTAATAATTAAAATCCATTTATTGATATATCTGAATAATGTTGCCCAAGTACACATTATAATTTATTCATTTAGAAGTCACCATTTAAAATGCATAATTTAAAAAACTATATCTTAATTAATGCAACTAAACCAAACCAGCAATTCAAGAAAAATGAAAAATACATAAGTCAACATATAATTTTAATTACATATATATATATATATATATATCAACACAAGAGAATTAAAAGAAACAACAAGTATTTTGAACAAAGAATTCAATTAGAAGACCAATAAGCCCAATATAACTAATACTTGCAATCATAAACCTTGTACAACTATATCTATCTATCTATCTATCTATCTATATATGTATATAGCATTGCATTTTCGAAATCTCATCATTTTACTTTTAATTTTTTTCATTTCATCACATTCATTTGTACAGGATAACATTCAATTAAGTTTTACACTTCATTATTAAATGGAGTTATTTATTTATTTATTTATGATTATTTATAAAATAATATATTTTTCTACATTATTTATTTTTATTTGATATTGTCTTCTTGATGGAATGAATTAATTGTGGAGGATATCATTATTATTTCTGTATATAATAAGCAATCGAGGTGAATAAAACATGAAAAATTGAATTCAATTAAATTTAAATTATCTCAAATGATTTGATGTTTTGGAATGATTAAGATAGTAATACAAGTTTACAGAAATTGGAAAAATATGAAGGAATTTTATTCAAATCAATAAGCAGACATGAATAATGTGCAACCAACAAATAGATACACTAGAGTAACAAGTCAATCAATTTAATTTTCTCTTAATTTTTAAAGCAACAACTTCAAATTCGTGTTTGATATTGCATATTCTCAAAAACCAAAGCACTACAATTTTATTTATTTATTTATTAAATTAAATAAAAAATAGAAAATTATATAAATTTTCAAAAGCCATTCTCACTTAATTTTTTTATCAAATTATATTTTTTAATTAATTGAACAAACTTAGAGTAGCAATCTTGAAGTAAAGATGTTCTAAAACAGCAGATAAATGCGTAATACAATTCAAAACTGTAACATTTATAGGATTGCAAATGACAATAAATTTGAAATTTTCGGTAACATGAATTAGGACAATTCTACCTTTGTAAAAAAATCTTAAGTCAATTACACAACCACTCAGATAAACTAGATTTATAGAGAGTTGATTTATACTAATAGAGACTAAAAACTTTAAGAATCTGTGTATTGTTTTAGACTTGGATGGAAGGAACACAAATAAGTAGATGAGTTATTGGCATACTTTTAATTTGTTAGAAAAGAAAAAAATGATTATATATATATATATATATACCTAAATAAATAGACTATTTCCTATTTAGTTATTTTTCAGAAAAAATACTCTTTTTTAATCTTTTTAATGAAAATTTACCAATTAAGATTTGTTTGAAGATTTGTTTTAAAAATACAATGTAAGATCTTGTCAAAGGGTTTTACTTGGAATATTCCTAATATCAACTTGCGCAAAAATTTACCAAAAATTTAAATTAGATTTTTTTCTATAAATAGTCAGATTGAATAAATACTAATAGTTTTTTCAGACCAAGTCCTATTTAATTTGTACCTTGCAAACCTACTACAACTGTATTATCTCTATTTTTATTTTTTGTTTTATACACTGATATTGGTAATTTTTGTTTTTTTTCTTTTAAAAATTGAAATCATCAATTCATTCTTAATTTAATGAATTTCTATAGTTATAACAAATTTACAATAAAAAATCAAACCTAATTTAAAACTCTGTTTAAACATGCGGTCAATCAATTAATTTTTATGTTGAACTGATTAATTTTATGATCATATTTAACTTGTACTGGTATATGTATATCACCATAAATTAAACTATGTAATAGTTAAAAATAATACACATACTTAAAATAAAAATATAGATAAGATTGGTTTTGTATCATTAAAAATTAAAAAACAATCAACCATTAAGTAAGCCTTGGTATTGAGTTCATCAAATGTGCATTTCATTTTTTTTTTTTGGTCCAATTGATATGTCATTACTGAATTTAGGTCAGAAAATGTGTGATAGATAGCTGAAAACTTACATTATTTTTTGTCAATATAGTGTGTAAAAACTATCACTTTGGAACATGGTCTTAACAGTTCACCTAAATAAAATAATTTTACCTAATTTTACAAATTACCACAGTGAGAATTACAAATGAAGAATCTTTAAAATAAATTCATCTAATTTCATACAAATTTTATTTAATTTAAGTTTAAAACATGTGATCTTAGATTGTAATACTTCTAAGAAGTAATATCTATGGAGTAGAATCGTCAATTGTGTCTAAATTTCTGTTATAGATTCAATAAAGATTATTTACGTCAACCATCTAAATATAAATTAGTTTTTGAATCTCGAATTTATAATAAAGGAAGCACGTTTTAAATTTGTATGAATAATTCATTTTTTGGTAATTTCTAAGGTTGTATAAACTTTATACATATATTTGTATAATTTGTACATTCATTTATATTTATTTTTTTAAATGATTAAATAATTTGTGTACTCTGTTATTTTCTGATGAATTCAAAGTCCTATGATTATTTTCTGACAAACATATTCGTAACTATAATTTTTGAATGAATTGATTATCACTTATAAATAAATAAATAAATAAATAAATAAATAAATAAATAAAAAAAAATATATATATACATATGATAACTATTAATATTTGTAGAATGTACATCGATAGTTGATTTCATTGATTTTTTAGACCCTCAAATTCATACGACTATAAATTTTTAATTAAATTATAACACTTATATTTAACTTTGGTTTTTAATTTTGACCCATTAAATTCATCAAAATGATCCTTTACAGGGAAAGACGTAGTGGTTCAAATAAACTGTATTTCATGTGTGATTCAAACACTGTTGCAAGCATAAAAAACAGTTGACTAAGAGCCATATAAATTTTAATTGCCATGTAAGAGCCATATAAATATTATTAGCTGTGTATATGTTACAATTTGTGATATAAAGCGGTGAAATGATATTGCACAACATGCTATGAAGCTCCAAACTAATTTTAAACAATCAACTTTAACAGATTTTTATTATTTATTATTTTCGTATTTTCTTTAAAAAAAGCAGTGGTCCCTCCAAAAATGAAATCCAAGTCATTGTTAGCACATGCGTATATATTTACACACCTAAATAATGAATTCACAATGCAATAAACAAAATTTAAAAACAGTACTAAAACAAACAACCACATAATCCATACCAATCATATTCAAGGAAAACTGGTACCCAAGAAGTGGGTAATTTGCTGTATCAAAAAGAACAACATTCTTCACAAACGCTGCATCATTTATATTTATCCACACTATTCTATGACCATATCATATCCACACACACATAGACCCAGTAAATAAGCATTAACATATTGACCACTATTAAGAGGCAGTATCACAGTCGGAAAGAGTCTCCAAACGGCGACACCGCCGTTTTCTAAAGCAAATTGGATGCTTCAGTATCACAACATCAATCATCGACAACACACGCACGCACACACACACACACCACGAGATCATCGCAATACATCCGTCGTCGAGATCCAACACCACGAACGAAGCACGCTGGGGATGATTATGCATGCGTGTGCTGCTGTTGGGATATCCACAAGTGTCGGTGTCTAGACGGACAGCATGGCAGTGGCCGAAGCTAAACTTCGGCGATGGAAACAGTGGTGTAGTGGGTTGCGATGGGTAGCATTAATAAGGAAACTGACTGAATATGCATCGTTCCAGGGGAAGATCTAGATGAGTTTGTAAGTGTGTGAGTGTGAGTGTGTGTGTGTGTGTGTGTGAAGGGAGATGCGAGAAGGGGGATGTTGGTGAGCTGAGCGACGGACAGCTGCGGGTGCGATGATCGGAATTGAAATGCGATGCGATCTTGCGCACGTCTGCAGCGGGCAACGACTTTCTAGATGGCCAGCCACCTTTTAATAGAGCGTACCCCGTAACCTACGCAGTGTAATCCTCCAGTCTCGTCCTCGACCAACCCCGCGTCGTGGCTGTCTTCTCCCTCTGCCTTCCCCATCTCCATGGCTCCTGATTGATCAGTCTCTCGCCTTCGTTTCCCCCTTCCCTTCCCTTTCCTGCCTCCCTCGCTCGTCCTCTCACGCTGAAAGTTTTTTCACCGTTCTTGTGGTGCTGTATATGGTGAAGCAGGCCACCGCCTGATCGTCGTTGCGGTGCTGCTGCTTCTGCGTTGAGTTGTCTGTGCTGGTGATAGCAGTGCTCTGCTGATTGTGCCTGCATTTCGATCGGTTCCCCTCGGAGTACTTTCCATTGGTTTTGTCTGAATAGGTGGTTTTAGGATGGTTTGAGAGGCGAGAAATAGTGACCCAGTGTTTGTTGCCTGTTGGAGCTTAGCGGCATTGTGGTCTTTTCTGTTGTTTTCAACCTGAACGGTTATGCTTTGGCCAAATTAGATCAGCCGCCCACAGGATTTTGCTTGTTTATTTTTGAAATTCTTGGCGTGCGACCGTAGTCACCGTTACTGAGTTTTTTTGAATTGGGCGTTGATTCGATATTCTCGTGCATTAACATACGAGCCAGCAACGGTGATCCAGCAGTGGGGTTTTGTTACTGCTGCTTTTCTCCAAGTTGTGGTGGTGTTTACCCTCCTCTCTAGCATCCGAATTCGAGTCAGTAATGTGCACAATTTGACATCTGTGTAACTGTAGCTTTTTAGAGCCGTTAGTGTTTGCAAGCCTTGATCTGATCAGCGATGATGCGCCTGCGCAAGTGAGAGTCGGTAGAGCGTCGTTCTACAATGGATGGCTGAGGTGTTGTCATCTACTGCGTCGATTCTCGTGGCTTTCTTTCAGGTGGAGGTAACCAGATTGACCAAATTGAACTTGCCCCTATCATTTTTGCTGCATTTCTCATGATTTTTTTAGTACCAGTAATGTATGTGGGATTAAAACCCGAAAGAGTTTGAATAGGAACCAGATATTTTGCTAGAAATGATCAAATGCTTCTCGACAATTGGATATTTATGAGTACTTCGTATCGGGAAATTCAGACTTGCTTTAGTCTTTCGAGCGGAAGAGGATTTAACGATTCGGTGCTGTTGTAGCTGCTTGGGTACAAGGTATTTCTGCCATGCATTATATTTTCCAAGCATTCTCACTGCAAGGATCGCTCATGTCTGATTGATTGAAATACTGCAACTCCATGTTTCTTTGAATCTTAACTCGAAGGTAAGATTATGATAAGGGACGACAAAGATCACATAATTTTGAGATGTTGCTTCTGTAGGGAGCATAGAAAATGAACTACCTTCCGCGTTTAATTGTGCGAAGCGCTGCTGCTAATTCTTACAAAAATTTCCAGTTAGGTGGCTCGGAGGTTGTTTGAAAAAGTGTTTTAGAGCTGAAATCTGTGTCGTAATTGCCGCAAACTTCTAAGATTTCTTACCTACCGCCACTTTGTAAAACTACGCTTTCTTCTGACTAAATTTCTATCACAGGTTTTAGCAGCCTTAAAATAAAATAAAATAAAATAAATCCACTGCCCTATTCCTGAAGCACCCGTTGAGAAGAAATAAAGCGCAATGACCGATCTGATTTCGATCTTGGAGTCATCAGGGTCATCACGAGAGGAGATGTGCCCTGTTGCTGTGCCAAGCTCCGTGGCTTCTTCTTGTGAAAGGTTGATATGGGAGGGGTGGACTGCACAACCATCTCCTGTCGAAGAAAGCACCACCAGCAAGTTACTTCCAAAGCTACTTCCAGAGCTCGAGACATCATCCTACTCTGCACTCACCCTTCAGCAACCTGATGCGCTCTCCAGCATACTTTCAGTCCTCCACCCTTTTTCTCATTACAGTTCGGCCAGTTTAGAACTCGCTCGCAATCCTGACTGGAGCTTGAAATCTTCAAATCCTCTGCGGGAAAGCAGCTCGGAGGCTGGCATCCGAACCTCATCTTTCGAAGGCTTGTACTCTGGTCAGCACACCACCAAAAAGATTCATTTGGGGGTCATACCCTACCACTTGTCCGAAGATCAGCGCCAGTGCGCTGTCAGTCCTCCGGAAAATGAGTGCCGCCTACTGTCTGCAAATTCCTCTGGATCCCTTCACTGGTGGCATTCCATAGGCCCCGAGTCTCCTTCCTCTACTCTTGCATTCCATAATATTGGGATCCAACACTCTACCTTCGAAAAGTGTGAGCCTAGGGGCCAGTCGCACTCATCATGGCCAGCGGCCAGCGGCACGTCGCCAACAGTTCAATACTTTCATGCCCATTCTGCAGATAATGAAGGTGTCGAGGTCGTCAAGCAAGATGACTCGCAGATATCCAAGGCTCTGGCGACCTATCAACCCCACGGCGACCATAGTCTCGTGCTAAATTCAGACCGCATTGCAAGCACAACCAGCCACTCAGAAGATCCTTGCGGCCCTAAACCTGGACGCAGACCAGCTGCATCATACGACACCGAGATGATTCTTAGCCCAAGTGAGAGTTTCTTGACAACTCCCAATATGTTATCAACGTTGGAGTGCGTAATATCCGGTGCAAGTAACATATCTGATCAGTATATGAACTTCGTCAGAGAACCGCAGGAGCAAAGGCTGTCCTCTATCTCCGATCTGTCCCTTATTCCTGACAGCCACGCGGATCCGCACAGTATCGGATTTATCTCTGGGACCTTTAGAACAGACTCCCACGGAACTGGAATAAGAAAGAACCGCATCTTTCTCAGTGATGAGGAATCCGACTTCTTGCCTAAGAAGCGATCCAAGTACACGGTCCGCGGCGATTTTCAGATGGATCGCTTCGACGCAGTTTGGGGGAATACCGGTCTTCGGGGATCTAGCTGTCCTGGAAATTCAGTATCCCAGATGATGGCGATTTACGAATTCGGACCCGCACTGAACAGGAACGGCAGGCCGCGAGTACAACGTGGTTCGGCGACTGATCCGCAGAGTGTACACGCCAGGGTAAGGACCAGATCTCGATTCTACTCTTGGAATTTCTTTCAACCTGCGAGCATGAATGTGTAGATTCTAGGACAGTCCTACAGGCAAACGTGAACACAGAATCCTGCTTCCTGCACAGCAATGTTTTTACACGAAATTTACACTAGAACTTCCAGGTGGTGACGAATCTTGCGATGGGTGCTTACATAGAGTTCTGTCCATGTCCAATCATGGACGAATGTTGTGTGGGTGCAGGCGCGGAGGGAGAAAATCGCCGAGCGCTTGAGAAAGTTGCAGCACCTCATTCCAAACGGCGGGAAGGTAAATTTATGCAGAATGACAACTAATTTATGTTTGTTCCTCTTCGAAATCCACTCCAAGAGTCCCTCCATTCTCTCAACGTCACCGGATTCGAACGCAAGCCCGTCATCAGCAACAGCCTTCTAACCCTGTCTGTTGTTTCCCCGGTTTCCAACAGGTGGACATCGTAACCATGCTCGACGAAGCCGTTCACTATGTTCAGTTTTTGAAGCGACAAGTTACGGTGCGACCATTTCCACTGATTAAAGAAAAATCACTCTAACGACGTCCAGTTCCGTATCTTCTTAAGCAATCTGACGCCGATGGCGGCCCTGACTTCGAGATCTGTGTTGCCAATGCAGCTTCTGAAATCCGACGAGTATTGGATGTACGCCACGCCGACCTCGTACCGGAGCAAATTCGACGACTGCAGTCTGGTTCCCGGCGAGAACAACTGATCCTGCAGGAAAGCTGGCATGTGGCTACCGTCAGACAGCATGGTAAAAGCGCGGTACCGCCGAAATCTACCATGTGTCAGTAGTACCGACACATGGTGGATTATCGATCTCCGCAGCTGCCCGGTGTTGATGATTTCAGCTCGTCGCCGTGTCGGTAAAGGTTTTGTGAGGTCGGTGATGTGGGCTGAAGTCATCAAAACTGCAATTGAGCAGCACGCTTTGTACAATTTTTTCATTTATTTATTCTAGTTTATTTTAGTTTGTAGAAATCGATACTAAGTTGTTCCGCTTGCTTATCATGGTATGGTGGACAATACATGTGAGTGATCTTTTTCATTTTATTTTTTTCTTTTTTTTGTTTGTGTATTCAAGGTTGATTGGTTCATGGATGTGTATTTGGTGCAAAATTTTATGGATCTTAGATGATGCTGGCATATGTAATATTCTCAACTCCGCATTTGATATACATTCTATAATAAAATAATAATAATAATAATATATATTTTTTATAATCATAAACTATGGTTTATTATACAGTAGGAAATTTATGTAATTATCTTGGAAGAATAATTCATATTTTAAATTATAGATATCATTTATTGTGGCATTAGTACAATATATTACTTTTATTTTTTTTATTTTATGTATTTAAGTTCTAAAAATATTACAAAATCTTTGAAAAATATAAGCTTTACTACCTTTAAGTAAAATTTATTGATTATACTATCTTGAAAGATTTAAAGTAAGCATAAATTTTTATGGTTGAATTAATTTATTGTTTTTGTTTTTTTTTTTTAATAAAAAAATCAATATAATATTTTTTAATCAAAAAATTTCATTATTTATATCTAAATACATTCAATTGCAATTAAATAAGTTTATGTACAAATTAGAGCAATTTGTCTAGAATATGATTTTTGTTTTGCTTCAACTGCTAGTATAAGATTCAATAAGGTGATTGATAAGAAAACAATGCCTAAGGAGTGCATTTGACTATGTTGATTTATAGATGATAAAAAACCAAAGTTTGCACTGCTGATGCTATCAATGATATTGAAGGTATGCTTTGTAAGAGTATTAGTTACAAATTTAGTTAGAAACTAGTAGTAATTGTGACTTTCTACACCTCTCTAGTGTGCACCTTTTGGTAGCTCATGCCTTTCTATATGCAACAATCTTATGGACTCTACCATCACATATTCTATCCACTTACAACTATAGTTTTGCATATTCATGTACTTGCCTACTTCTTTAATTTTCACCTCATTCTAATATGGTATAAAAGTGCTTGCTTTCTTAGACTAAACTAATGTTAGTTCTAGAGTTTTCAACTAGGTAGAAGGACAATTCTTCAATACCTTGGAGGCTATTCAATAGATGTCTAGGCAAAAACTGAAGGCCTTAAGGCATCCTTCAAACATCAACTTCAAAATTTGTCATCCCAACTATATAAATATTATAAATAAAATCACAAAGTTCATGCAACATCATCTCTTATTGGATGCAAATGCATTTTTTCAAGATAAATTATAAAAAGAGACAATGCTTGCATAATAAAAAAAAATCAATTTAAGTTCAAAGAAACTCATTTATGCATACAATATGCAAACAACAACTTCATATGATAAATAATAGTCTTGACAATAGAGGTTGAGAAAAGTTTAACAATACTTGATATAATGTTTGTGATGATTTATCCAACTAGGTTCAATCTAATTGTGATATAAACAAGAGTACTAGATTTAAAACTTAAAGGATAATAGAGATATTTAGATGAGATCCTAAATCTATAGAAAGGTATTTAATGGAGTAACTAGTCTTATAATAATACTAAGTACAAACTTAGCATACTGTGCATCTAAACAATTAGCACAACCAAATGTTTGTAAGTTGGACATAATGATCAATTTTCTAATATCTTTTCTTATTTAATATTCCATTATTAATCTTGTTACAAAGTTGATGTAATGATTAGAACTAGTAATTTAAAAATTAAATATGATTGTAAGAATTTTAGGATAGTGAATTATATTGTTGCAAAAGTTTGTAATTCTGCTAGAAAATAAATCTCAATAAAGTAACAATAGTTCTTAAAACATTGTTTAACAACTTGCTTTGTGAACATATCTTCATATTCTAATTTGGTGACAACATATTTCAAAGAGAATTTTTCATTAAGAATCTGTTCTTATATAACATAATAGTTTGCTTTAATATGTTTAGTCTTTGTATGAAATATGGAATTTTGAACAAGACAATTTAAACTAATATTATTGCAGTTGAAATAAAAATTGTATATTATGGAAATATGAGTTTTTAAAAAGATTAGACTAAATTGAATCATTTGATGAATGCACTATTATCTTAGATGAAAATAAATTATTTAATTTATTTTCAATATTTATTCATAAATTGCTTCTTTGATAGCTTCTAAGAGTATCTTGTATCTTATTTCTATATTATTATTAAAAAAATTGATTATTATTTGTTATACTTGATAATTTGTTTAGAAGCAAGTTTGAATATATATATATATCAAGCACTAGATTGTTGAGTACTAAGCCAACTAAAATAATTTGCATCCATGAATTTCTTAAATGTAAGATTTGAAGGGCACTTGAAATAAATTCCAATATCAACCATTTTCTTTACTTATTTTAGAATTTTTCTTAATTTCTTTTAGATATTGCTACTATGGCTTAGCCATAAATCTACAAATAACATCTAATACATATGACAGGTTGGATCTTATATTAATGAAGAATAAAAATTCACTAACCATCTTGTAATATTATGTGGTATCAATTAATGAGGTTTATGTGTTGAATTAAATAATAAATTTCTTTAGTAAAAGAGTACATTTATTTAAAATATTTTCTATACCAAATTTATCTAACATTTCTTTACAATAAGAATATTTATGGAAAAATAATATATTGAGTATGTATTCAAACTTAGTTCCTAAGTATTTTTTTTGATTTTTTCTAGGTCCTTTGTCTTGTATTTGTCTTAGAACTATAGTTTGATTTTGAAAATATATTTTCTATTATTTCTAGTAGTAAAAATATTATTAATATAGAGAAGAAATGTCATAATAGAAACACCTTCAATAAAATAATAGAGATTAGAATCTAATTTACTACATATCCAACTAATGCTCTAAAGATATGTATTAATTTCTTGATACCATGCTTGAGGTGATTGCTTCAATCTATAAATAGATCTAAATAATTTTTACACAAGGTACTTAAAAAATTTATTTAGAAAAAATACCTCTTATGCTCTAAATGGAATGTTGTATTGATTAAACTTTGACTATTAGATAAGTAGAAGTAATACGTACAATAGTGGGTGCAACTTTACCTTATCATAGTCCATTCACATTATATTAGTCCAATTGAGTTTGAATTATACCTTAAGCTGATCTATCTTTTTAAACAAATAGAATTACTTTTTTTTTGGTACTTGAATATATTTGAATATTTTTATATATTGTAGCCAATTATCAAAAATAAATTTAATTTGAAGTAGAGATGAAGAAAAATCAATTTAGAGGTCTTTTAAAAAAATTACCTTTGAATTAATGAAGACTTTGAGTTTGGCTGAATTGCAATAAAATATATCTTATTGGAAAAGTTGTAGCCAATAAACACATATTTTATTGCCTTAGCTTATAAATTGTGTAAAACTGCTTGTGATACATAAATATATGTAGCACTTCTAAGAATTTCTAAGTGTGAAAGATTAGGACAATGTCCATATATCATCTCAAATTATGTCTTATTAATGACAGCCCTAGTAGAGCATCTATCAAGTACTTAAGTGGCAGCTTGTACAATTATAGTATAAAAAAATGATGGAGATTTTGTGTTAAAAAAGATGCTTTGTACTACTTCTAACAATGTCATGTTCTTTACTTCTACAATGATCTTTTGGTGTAGAATTTACAGAGTCATGAATTAATATCAAATTCTATACAAAGAACAAAAGTAAAAAGATTTAGACATAAAATATTTTCTCCTTTTGTCTATATAAAAGTATAAAATCTATTACCCAAATTATTTTTTAACTATAAATTTAAAAGATTTGAGGTATTGAAATACATTATTTTTTGCTATAAAAAAGAGACCTATATAAATCTAGTGTAGTTGTCTATAAAAATAAGAATATATTTATTTTTTTATAATAAACTACATAGGTCACCATGGAGAAGTTCTAATGGATGCAAGAAATTGGATCTAGCTTGTTTTAGAATTCTTTCTTTTTTACTTTTGCCTAAAATGTAAGACCAATAATTTTTCTTAACAAAATGTAGTACATATACTTCAATAATCATCTATCATGCATTTATGTGATATATTTTTTTCTTATTAAGATAGTTGAGTCTTCTATACCATAAGTTATATATGTTAATATAAGTTTGTCAAACCTCATTGATTTTAGCAACCTAAGTGATAGCAAGGTGTATTAATTTAATATGAGATGTTTTATAATTATTCTTGTATGATTAAGAATTTATTTTAGGATTTAAGAGAATTTTTCCCAAGTTATACAAGTTATTGAGTTGGTTACAAACAACATTCTAGATAATACAACTAAGATTTCTAATGCTATATATATTGCATAATCTTAATATGAAGGTGGTAGCATATTTAACATAATTTAATTTTTTTGTAGACATGAAATTATTTCTTTTGTATGTAAAATTTTTTTTTTTTTTTTTTTTTTTTTTTTTTGACTTATATAGAATTATAAAAGATCATACATTTTAGTGATATAGACTTAGATCTTAGGAGGCTCCTTACAACAATGCATGGTGTCATCATAAGCTTAAACAATGATTTTTTTTTTTTTTTTTTTTTTTTTTTTTTTATCAAGATGTTTCAATTTACATTGAACTTCACAATGTTTAGGTTTGTTGTAATAATGACATATACTCATTTGACCATAACTATGGCCCATGCAACAAAAGCCATTATAGCTACAATAAGTTTCTCATCCACATCTTCAATAATCATGAGCTTAATAATCATACATTCTAGGGTTGTGGAATTTGGCTATATACATGGTTTTTTCAATTACTTGATCTTGGTGACAAGACATTATGAGATTGTGGAATTTGGTCATATACATGACTTCTTCAATTATTTCTTCATTGCATCTATTCTTCTAATATTCTTGAATTTGAATGTGTTTGATTAATATAATATATGTGGACTAAAGAGTCATATATAAAACTACACTAAGCTATGAGATAAAGATTTTTAAACTATTAGGTAATTTTTCTAAGATTATATTTATTACTTTTGTAACATCCACTTTAACATTGATATTGCCAAGT